GCGAAAGCCTCCTTACGTGGAAAATCCTCCAAAAAAAAAAAAAAAAAAAAGAAAATAGAATTTGTCTTTTAATATTCTGAGATTAGGATGATTAGTATAATAAAATACACAATTAAAGTTATGACATAATGTCTTTTATTTTGTTAAAACTATGTGATCAGCTGTTTGCACTGGGTTTATTGCTTTGATACTTTAAATGCTGGTGCAATCATCTTATTAGAAAAAATTATCAAAGAATGTAAGACGTGTTATCAAGAAATAATCCTTTTGTTTTACATATAATACACAGAAAATTTAGATTAATCTGTTGGTCAATAGACACAGTATTTTATCAAAATGAATATTGAAAAAGATATGCATTTATAGTTCTTTCATAGACTATTAAAAATTTTAGCGTGAAGCATGATGTATTGAAAATCATTGAACAAATTCCTACCAGTAAAAGATTTCACTTCGTTCTCCAAAGTTTTCAGAGCCACTTTATTATCAGCTGTAACACAAAAAAACATAACTTGAAACTCTTAAAATGATAGTAAATATGAGTACCGTAAGAACACCTTCTTCCTGTTCCTTGTCTCCTCTTAGCAACACTTATTAAGGGTGGAGTAATGCAGGCCAAGGGATTGTGGCATGGCCATTTCCCATTGCTGGGGTGGGTGGGCTTTCTCCTTTTCTCTCTCTGGTGAGTGCCTGCATACTTCTAACAACAACAAAACAACATTTCTTATTCTGTTCCTTCAATACTAAAGGTACATAAAATATGAAGCTCAAAATCTGATCATATCTAACATGCTCACCACTGGCTGGCAGGTTTTGTATCAGATCTTCAAGCTCCTGATCAGTGAGTTTGAGTCTCATGTCATCTAGAACGGTTTCCAGGTTTTTGACGTCGACCATCCCTAATCGGAAAGAGAAAGGCCTGTGAAGAAAATTTAGTGACTCCAAAAAGAGATTTCTGTTTCTTTTCCTTTTTTAAAAAAAAGATACATACCCTTTGAGAATCTGAGAAAAGCTATAGATCTTACTCTTCACAAAGTGTACATGTGCATATTGATAAAGTGTACATTAAAATTTTAGGGGATGTGCTAAATTAGCTCATTATGACTTTCACGAGGTTCATGAAATGCAGTTTAAAATGGCTATTCTTCATAGAAAAAATTATTCCCATGAATCATGATTATACTTTTCAATATGACAAAATTTCATTGAATCAAATATGTAAAGAAAATTGACAGTGGAATAAGAAGATCCCTTTCTTTAGACCAATTTGGGAGAGGGGTTCAGAGTAACTGATTAGTGAATGCAAGATTGAAAATAGCAAATAAAATATTTTTGACCAGTACATAGGATTGAAAAATAATCTCACACTGCTACTACTACTGATAGCTAATATACATTGAGAACTTTTTTTCTGTAACAGGCATCATACAAAACATTTCTTTTAGGGGCCAGCAGGTGGCGTGGTGGTTAAGGCACTGAACACTCCCACATGGCTGACTACAGTTTGAGTCCCAGACCTAGTGACTTGCTTTCTCACTTTCCTTCTTTCTGTATGTTTGTCTTTCTATGGTCAAATTAAAATAAAATGAATGAATAAATAATATAAATAATTCTTTAAAAATAAAAAAAATACATATATTTCTTTTAGAGGGTCCAGCAGGTGGTCTGTTGGTTAGGGCACTAGACTCCCACAGGGCTGACTGCAATTTGAGTCCCGGATCTGGTAGCTTGCTTTCTCACTTTCCCTCACTTCCCCACTCCTCTGTCTTTCTCTGGTGAGCACACATGCCCTACAGCAAATTAGATAACAATACATAAAATGAAATAATTCTAAGGGAAAAAATTATATTCTGCCATTTAATCTCAGAAAATTATCAGACAATCGTTAAATAAATTCCCTACATAAGTAACACGTTTTTCTTGACTTCTTTGTAATTATTTATTTTCCTCGAGTTTACACAAACTAAAATAGAGTGTGGAATATATTTCTAAACAATAATATGGTCAATTATGTGTTTAAATAAAGATAAATCTGTTTCAAAGAAATTACAAGGAGTCTATACATTTGAGAAGTGGTAGGATTCACAAGGACTTGCTTATTATTATTTTTCATATTTTTCATACCACTATGGTGCTTTACACTAGTGAGCGCTGTTTTTTCCAACATTTTAAAATGAAAAACTTCATTCAAAAAATTTTAAAGTACAATAAGCCATCATCACTTACTGAAAATAATAGTTAACATTTTGCTATAACTGTCTCTCTCTCTCTCTATATATATATATACATACACACATACATATGTATGTATAAACAGAAGTAAAGTTTTTTTTTTCTCTAAATCATTTGAATGTAAGTTTTTGGCATCATAACTCATTATTCGAAATACTGCAGCATGCAATACATTTTCTAAGAATATTTTCCTACATAGTGTCAAATATACACAGCATAAACACATCTAAGAGAATTAACAATAATTCCTTTTTTTCTTTCTTTTTTTATTTTTAGTTTGCTATAAGGCACATGCACTCAATGGAGAAAAAGAGAGAGAAAGAAGAAGAGAAATCATCTCCCAAGGAGGATGCCCATGCTGCAATCACTTCTCTTCCATTCTCCTCTTGGGATTTTTGGTCCACTGTGCTCAGCTTTTTTTTTCAAACCTCCAGGTCCAGGACTAGATCCATGTAGTCAGTCATATGAGATCCAGCTGCCTCCACCATCACACCACTTGCTGGCTTAAAAATAACTTCTTAATATTACTTAAGATGCAGTTCATATTTAAATTTCCTCGATTATTGCCACAATGTTTATTATAATTGTTTCTGTCAAAAGTTCACAAATTGCATTTAATTATTCTCTTTAGACTCAAAAGTTATTTTATTTTTAATGTTAGAGGACATTGGTGCATGAGAGAGAGAGAGAGAGAGAGAGAGAGAGAACCCTCAATAGGGTATAGGCATTCCACATTTTTTGTTTGTTTTTTTCCCTACTCAGTTAGGATTTTGGACACAGGCACACTTGCCCAGTGTATTCTGAACCACAATCAGCCATGTGAAATGTGAATTCCAACTTATAGAGCTTTAACCACTGTACTTCAGAGTTGACTCTTTTTATACTTTTAATCTAGATGTGTCCCAACTTTTTTTTTTTAACACAAAACACTGACATTTTTTTTTTGGAGAGGTTTTTGCTATAGGGCGTGTGCGCTCGCCAGACAGACAGAGAGACAGAAAGAGAGAAATCACCCCCCAGGGGGGATGGTCACGCCGCAATCCCTTCTCCTCCATTCTCTTCTTGGGATCTTGGGCACGCACGCACACGCACCCGGTGTGAGTTCTAAGCCACCGGGTCCGGGACGCGAACCTCGGTCGACTACATGGGAGTCCAGCGACATAGCCATTACGCTAACTGCTGGTTCCCCACACTGACTTTTTAAAAAGACTAGAACAAATATTTTTATAGAACGCCTCATATTCTGGATCTGTCTAATTTTTAGTCTAGTTCTTGTTTAACCTATTTTTTTATCCCCCATATATCCAATAAACTAGAATAATCTTGGAGTTGAGGAATTTCTTTAAGTATTTTGTAGCCAATTACATGCATTTCTTTCTCTCTTCTCACTTTCCTTCCTCCCTCTTCCATCCTTCCTTTTGATGCTTAAATGGCCCCAAGTACACAGCCAGTGGGAGTCTTCCCAAGATGACTTGTTCCCTTTTGACAACCACATTTTATTCTTTGATTGCTACCATTCTTTTTGAACATGATATCCCAGACTCACATTGTATTTTCCCTACCTCAGATCCACAAACAGCCTTTCTCCAAGGAGCTTTGGGACAACTTTTAGTGGGAAAGTTACTTAGAAACTATAATCTGACAACTAGCTGTGCTCACCGAAACTAAGATGTCGTCATGCCTGGGTCCTTTCATGTCATTTCTAGGAAAGTATAGGAAATTTATATCTAAAACAAACAGGCAAACACACACACAAAAATAGAGTTCATAGTGATGATTGTGGTTCATATTTTATAATTATAGAAGTTTTTTGTAAGCTTCTTTGATTTTATATTTGTATCTCTTTTCTTAAAAATGAAATACCTTGGTTCCTAACATATTATTTTATTTACCAACTATTCAATGTTTATTGTTGTATTCTGTAATAATATGCTGAATACTCACAATATTAAATTTCAATATTACTAATGATAAAACTAGTAAAGTTTAAGATTCTTTTGAAGATATGTTTATACTTAGTATATGTGGTGTGTGTGTATATATATATATATATATATATATATATATATATATATGTGTGTGTGTGTGTGTGTGTGTGTATACACACACACCACTGTTTATTTAATCAGAGTAGTATATTCAAAAGGCACTTGAAATAATAATTTTTATGGAATATAGATAATTGATATATAATTAGATTCATTTGTTTCAAATTTTCAATTTTGGGTTTATTTTTCTTATAAACATAGTTTTTAAAAGTATTTAAACATTTTCATGGCTCAGAAGTTAAGACTTGGGCTGGTCCAAGGTACAGTGGTTAAGGCAGCTAGATACCACATGGCTAATGTGTGATTGCAGTCCTGAATCAGTGGCTCAGGAAACATGCCAGGTATGTGTGCATGCATGCCTAAAATCTTGAAAGGAGGGAGAAATGGAGGAGGGATTGCAGCATGACCATTCTCCATGAGAGGCACTTTCTCACTTTTCCTCTCTCTCTTTTTCTCTCTGTCTCCCTCTGGTGAGTGCACTTGCCCTCTGACCAAAACCAACAACAACAATTCAAAAAACAAACAAACAAACAAACAAACAAACAAAAAAAACCCACAACAAAATAAGAAATATATCAGAAGGTTTGCTTCTATCCTCTTTACTCTGTTTCCCTAGTCTCTATAAAGGTAAACTATTAGAACTTAAAAAAAATTTTTTTGAATTACTTTTGGATTTACCCTTCAGTTTGATTTTACAGAAATAAGCAAATATCTGCCTACTTTCATAAATATATATGTATATTCTCATTTCCCCTTCTTCCTTACATAAAATGTAGTGTATATTAATGGTTCTACATTTTATATATTCTACATTGATGATTATACATTTTTGCTTTGACCACTTAACAATATAGAGATGATTCTTGTCAGTATAAATAACCAACAATAAACCTAAATTTTAAACTGAACTTTCTGTCAGTTTTAGGAAATGCCTCAATGCAAGTCATAAAGAAAATGATGTGACAACCCACTAAGACAGTAAAAAGAAACAAACTCTTGATGTTTTGTCCTGAAAACTTGTATGACTTATTTTCAAGGTATAAATAATTTTAGATTACACTAGAAAAGCTAATTATAGCAAATCTATGTACAAGCTAGCATTTTTATTAATATAAAACATACTCATCTTATTCTTTTTCTATTCTTCTTCCTGATTTTTCCTGTCTTTCTTTTTCTACTACATAACCATTGCACATTTCTTGGTCTCATGTATCCTGACTTAATCCACAGTTTTCTCACTTGAATAGAATAAATTCAGATATTTCTTAGCCTTTGTAGTCCCTGTGCTCCACATAGATTCTGTCAGATTGTTATTTAACATTTCAAGCCCACTCCTCCGTCCCACCCCCAGTTTTAGAATGATTTTGCTCCAACAGTTAGTGCCTGTAACTTTTATTTGGAAGACTTTCCTTGTATTACTGAAAACTGCTTTGACCACATATTACAGAAAGCAAACAAAGTGTGTCTGAGTAGACCAGTGACTAATGGGTGGGAAAGTATGAAAGCTCAGCTCCCTTGCTTTTAGTTGGGATAACTCTCAGGTGGCCCATACAGAGAGATCTTCAGTAGGATTAGTCCAAGTTGTCAGAACTTTGAGACTGGGCTTTTACTTGGCTCCCTCCCTTTTCTGGTATGCTTCTCTCATTCCCTTCTACATTTCCTTTAGTAACATTTATAAAATAATTTACATGATGAAGGATATAAAGTTTCTCAAATGTGAGTAAGAACCATAATGGGAAGCTTAATCTTAAACCTTTATTTATGCTCTTAAAATACGGGTCCTTCCTTCTTATACAACTGAGTCCTTATTTATAATTCTTTGAGTAACATGAGTAAAAACCTGAGACTTGAGGGGGAACATGTGCATAGATGGACTTGCTGCCTTAGTAAAGGTAGCATCCCATGGACCCTCTTGAGGAGCAGTTATTTCCTGGGTTTCCTGATCTTACATAATATACCCATTTTAGTACACCCAATTCTCTGAACCTTTTGTTCTCTCCTGAGTTTTCTGCTAAGTTGTAGAATTTCCACCTAGTTGGATTTTGACCACCAAAAACCTCTGCCTTGATTTCACCTTCCTGCTCCCCCATCTAGTCAGGAACCAGGATAAGCCAGCCATCTATATTTGAGTTCCAAGAGGCCCCAGTCGGGGATTTTGATCACCGAAGACCCTCTGCTCCAATTTCATTCTCCTGCTCCCCAGTTTAGTCAGGAGCCAGACTGCAGGTCACCTCCTTCTGCATTCCTGTGATTGCTCAGATTTAACTCCAAAAAATAGAAAAAAATGAATAATTCATCAGGTGGCCAGAAACCACCACAGAGGCACAAGAAATATGAGAAGCCAAGGAAATATCTCTCCTCTAGTGGAAAGGGATAACTCCTCTTCCTCTGCAGAGAATACAAAGACAAAGCTAACAGAGATGCAAGAGAATAGAGACAACGAACTCCAGAAGATGCAGGAGAAAAGAAATACCGAGTTCCAGGAGGTGAGGAAATTCCTGCATGATCTGAAAGAGGAGATATACATCATAAAAAAGCATCAAATGGAATTGTTAAAGATGAAGGTTGTAATATAGGAAATCAAAACCTCTGTTGAAAGTATCAAAACAGATTAGATCATGAGGAAGATTGAATCTCGGATGTAAGAAGATAGAATCTCTGACCTGGAAAAATTCACCAAAAAGGTCAAGAAAATAAGCCCCCAAAATGAGAGTAACATACAAGTAATACTAGAAACTATTAAATGCCCAAACATCTGGATCATCGGTATCCCAGAAGGTAAAGAAACTAATAAGGGTACTGATAACTTATATAATGAAATCCTGGAAGAAAACTTTCCAAATCTAGAGAGGCACTCAAAGATCCAGACCCAAGAAATACAAAGAATCCCACATAGAATTGACCCAAGAAGATCTTCCCCGGAGGCACCTCATAGCCAGATTAACCAAAAATACAGACAGAGACAAGATACTAAAATTGGCAAGAGAGAAACATCAAGTTATTTTCAAAGGATATCCCATAAGGCTTACATCAGGCCTCTCATTAGAAACAATGTAAGCAAGGAAAGAATGGGAAAAGATATTCAAAGTGTTAAGTGAAAAACAATTTCAACCAAGAATACTATACCCAGCAAGATTATCTTTCATATGAGAAAAAAAGACAAAAACATTCCCACATAAATAAAACCTGAATTTACTAACACCAGACCAGTTCTTTAAGAACTGCTGAAGGGAGTGTTTTACCAGGAAAATTAAAGTTGGACACACAGAAATAAGAGTACAAGAAACAACCAAGAGAATGGCCAGCCTAATGGCAGGAACAAGTCCAGAGTTGAATGCTAACTTCCAGAGTTTAAATGGAAAGATCAGATCACAGCAACACTGTAAATTCAATAGATAAGAGACATGAGTCTGAACTAATGAAATAGAATTTCTTTTTTTTTTTTAACTTTAGACTAAAACATTACTGATTTTCTTCGATGCTTTGATTTCCATATTTAAGGATTTTTGTTTTCTCTTGAACTGTTGATGGGTTCATCTACCTACTATTTGAACTGAATCCTAAGCTTTTTCCTGGCATTAAGTTTTAAGCAAATTTCTTTTAATATTTTTTGATTCTGATCTACTATTACTAAAACTTTTTAAAATTAAAAATGCATTAAAAACACCTATCAATACCTATTTAATGACTGTATTAAGCTATATAGCCCCAGCGAGGTGCTACTTTATAGTATTTTGACTTTACTCACTGAGGTTATGCCTAAAGTCAGACATGCATTCATAAATATGTATATATCAGCTGTGCTTGCTATTGAAAGTCTTTAATTAAGATCTTTAGTGAATCAATAGAATGTAAAAAAAAAAAAAGGCAAAGAAAACAACTGTACATACCAGAGACAGTGTGGGAGAAGGGGGGGGGAGTTGGCAGAGGGTGAGAGGTAGGGAATTGAGGGGGGAAGGAAAATAGCTATTTGTTAATGCTAATGTGTATGGTAATATCCTTGATTGAACCAATATACAATGTATACTGGGTGGAAAATCTCATTTTGTAAACTGTATTGATGTACAGTGAATAACAATAGAAAGAAGGAAAGAAAAAGAAAGAAAGAAAGAAATTTCCACTTAATTTAACAGGGAGTATTCCTTTCCAAGCTCCTAGGAGCCAGCCCAGTAGTATATTTGGCCAGCCCCAGTACTTTGGATAGGGCATTTGAACATGAGTTACAGAGTATACCTGCATATTAATAAACTCTTCCTATCTGGTCTATATTCCTCCCTCCACTCTGGTTCGGCACTCTTAAGATCTTCTTCCAGACATGCTGTTCCTATTCATGCCAGTACATATTAGCCAGGCATTGTCATTCCTTCCATGGATAATCTTTTCCCTCTCTTAGCAGGGTCAGCACTTTCCTAGTTGGTTGATGCTGAGACTTAAACCTAGTTTTAGTCAGTAACAGAGAAGGAAAATAGAGGAAGGGAAAGTACTGTCTTTCAAGGCAGTTACACAATTGAGGCTTCTGTATAGTTTTTGGGAAAGGAACAAAACGTTTATCCTCTTGTAAGCAGATTTAGCCCACTTTCATGAGCCTAAAAAATCAGGTGAAATTGAGCATAAAATCCAATTATGCTCATTCCTAACAAAGTTTTATCTTTTTTATTAGATTTTTAAATTATTTTTAAAAATTAAACAAACTTTTATCTTATCTATTACACTAACCACGATAAAAGATTTATGAGAATTACTCTGGAAAACAAGGATCTTCCTAACAAGACATAACACTAACATCTTATTAGCAAAAGTTCACTCTGATTAAAAATCTAGCTGTAGAAAAATATTTATAATATGGCATAAAAGACCAAAATTAACACAGCGATTAGTTAAAGGTAAAATATAATCACTGTGCCAGTTAAAATTATGAGGTTTACAGTAACTCTGTACTCACCTGTAATAGCCTTTTCTCTTTCCATCACTTCACGCAGGTCAACATCCCCATTTGCTGTAAGTAAAGATATAATAGAGACATGTAATGAATGGCATAAACTCAGAAGACAAACAAAAATTATATTGTGTAATAAAGTCCAGTTAAATTTGACTTCCATCATAATTTTAATTGACATCCCTTTTAATTTCTGGATTTCAAAGACTTATGCCATATTAATAAGAAAGTCTATTGCATAGATACTGATCCAGAGAACAGGTACTCAATCAGGATTTGGGAAAGCTCTTTGTCTTATGATTACAGGTGAAGTTTCTTTTGATGTTGGTCAGATATTCTTGTATAGCTAAAGAACTCATACAGGACCGACTTAGGTCTGGAGCATACAATAAAATCACCATGAAAGGGGTTTATTATTATTTTTTAAAGAATTATTTATTTTATTATATTATTTATTTATTTTAAAAATTTGACCAGAGAGAGAGAGAAAGGGAAAGTGAGAAAGCAAGCAACCAGGTCCAGAACTTGTGCTGTACTCGGCCATGTGGGAGCCCAGGGCTTTAACCACAATGCTACATGCTGGGCCCTGAAGGGAGTTTAATTTTTTTTTAAGAATGATTTTATTTATTCTTATTCTTTTTATTATTTTAATTTGACCAGAGAGAGACAGATAGATAGCGAGCAAGAGGGAAAGTGACAAGGTAAGCCGCCAGATCCAGGACTTGAACTGTGGTGGCCATGTGGGAGTCCAGTGCCTTAACCACCATGCTACTTGCCAACCCCAAGGGGGTTTAATTCTTAATAAAAGAATTAGTAGTGACTACTCAGAAGAAAAGAGGGAAAAAGGTTTTTTTTTAAAAAATATGTATTTAATTTTATTTATTATTATTGTTTTTTAACTTGATGAGAGCGAGAAAGGGAAAGTAAAAAAGCAAGCCACCAGGTCCAGGACTCAAAACATGGCCATGTAGGAGTCCAGGGCTTTAACCACCACACCACCTGTAGGCCCCAGAAAAAGTTTTTAGTGTGAAGGAGATGAATTAAGATAGTGATTTTTGGGCCAGCCAGTAGTGTGGTAGTTAAGGCACTGGCTCCCACATGGCCAACTGCTCAGTTTGAATCATGGACTGGGCGGCTTGAGAAACAAGCCCGTGCATGTGTGTGCAAACCCACAGTCCTGAGAACAGAACAGAAGAGGAAGGATTGCAGCTGAGGGAGTGCATATAAGCTATTCAAAGATTCATATAAGCTATTAAAAGAATATTAGAGTTCATCTCTTAGATTATGGAATAAATAAAAAGTTCTAAGCAATACAGTCAGAATTTAATATAAAGAGCTAAATAAATAATAAATTTCAAGGAGGTAGGACTATAAGACAAGGGACTAATTAGAACGCTGTTCTAATCTCTGAATTAGAGATGAAAAGGGCCTGCATTCAGGCGGTAAAATCATTTGTTGAAGAGCGTGGATGAATCTGAGAAATCATAAGGGTTTAAAAAGTATAAAGTATAATAATAGGGAACAAAAGACCAAATAGAGAACTCAGAAAAGAAGTGGGGATACTTCAAAAAGTTCATAGAGATAGACTTAAAGTACCGGTTTAGTTTCGTGTAAAAAATTCTGAAATCCATGCATAGTTTGCTAATGCATATTTTCCATGAACTTTGTAAAGATCCTCTCATGAAACACAGGTTATAATAGATGACTACTTAATGACATTGTGATATGAAATGCAGAAGTGGAATTTAGTTTATTAAGGAAGAAAATTTTCTTTGGGGCACTAAAAAAATTCTTAAGATTAAGGACTGAACTGGTGAAATAGAATTTTATGACTTTTGACTAAAACATTTCTGATTTTCTTCTATTTAAGGATTTTTGTCTTCTCTTGACCTGTTGATAGGTTCATGTATCTACTTGAAAAAAAAAAGGATTGGAAAGCAACTGTAGATACCAGAGACAGTGTGGGAGGAAGGTGGGAAATGGCAGAGGGTGAGAAATGGGGGTGGGATGTGTGTGTGTATGTGTGTGTGTGTGTGTGTGTGTGTGTGTATAATTATAGTTTTTCAAAAGAGTATCTATCACATAGAAGATAAAGATAAAAAGATACAGTGATATCTCTAGTACATACCATCAACTTGTAGATTTTCTGACAGTTCAGCAAATTGCTCTTCTGTGAGATTGATCCCCATATTTTTCAAGCTGGTAAGGAGGTTATTCTTTTTAATTTTCCCCTCTTAGAAAAGAAACGGTAAAACATCATTTGAAAATAAGTTATATAATAGCAAAATAAGAAAAAAAGATTTTTGTGTTATTATTAACTTTAATAACCACATATTACTAAAACAAAAGAGATAAAACAATAATATATTTTATGCTTCACTTTGTTACATTTCAGTAATGCTGAAACCCCAAATAGATTTGTCTACTTGAATACCTAAATATAAAGCCAATAGATAAGTCAATTTAGAATGTACTTCCTTTCATCTATTCTCTTTGACAAGCCTACATGATTAAACAGTGTTACTGGGCTTAGACACATACTCAGACACCAACTTAAGTCCTCTGCACAAAAATGCAGAATTATTATTGTTTACTGACTTGACATATTAGTTATCTTTTTAGCTGACCAATGCTTGTTAATAATGGCCAGCTTTTAATTTTTGCTAGGTTTGATTAAGAAAAAGTTGGAACAAATTAAATAATAACTCATATATTGGACTTCTTGCCAAGAGAAAATGCATGATAATAGCATGTAAAATATAGTTATGCTTGGCTTGCCCCAGAGCCTGGTAGTTAAGGGAACCAGATGGGAACCATGGCCAATCACACTTCAAATCCCAGATCTGGTGGCTTGAAAAACATATCAGCATGGAGGACCAGCAGGTGGCATGGTGGTTAAGGCACTGGACATTCCCACATGGACAACCATGGTTTGAGTCCTGGACCTGGTGGATTGCTTTTTCACTTTCCCTCTCTCTCTCCTCTCTGTGTATGTCTCTCTCTGGTCAAATATAAAATAAATGAATGAATAAATAAAATTAAGTAAATAATTCTTAAAAAAAAAAAGAGAGAGAAAAACATATCAGGCACATGTATACAAATACCCCAAATTGTGATGGGATGGAAAAATGGAGGAAAAGGAATTGCAGCACAATCGTGTTCTATTTAGGGGTGCTTTCTCCCTCTTTCTGTCTCTCAATCTCTCTGTGGTGAGTGTATGTGCCTTCTGGCAATTAAAAGAATCAGTTATGATAAAAAAATCATAAAGGACAAATTATTTAGGGCTAAGATTCATAATTGAATAATACAAAGTCTGGAGAACTTGATAATGTCTTATAGTTTGGATTCTTACTTACCTCTGAGAGATTGTATACTCTTCAGCAACCTATTATGATATAACTTTCCAGCAGCTGTAAGAAAAGCCATAATTCACTAAATAGTAAAATTAACATATTTACAAAATACCTTGAATTTAATTTAATTTTTTTTTAATTTTTAAAATTTTTTTATTTTTGGAGAGGTTTTCGCTATAGGGCGTGTGCGCTCGCCAGACACACAGAGAGAGAAAGCGTGACAGAAAGCGAGAAATCACCCCCCAGGGGGTTGGCCACACCACAATCCCTTCTCCTCCATTCTCCTCTTGGGATCTTGGGCATGCACGCACACGCGCCTGGTGTGAGTTTTAAGTCACCGGGTCTGGGACGCGAACCGCGGTTGACTATGTGGGAGTCCAGCGACATAGCCATTATGCTAACTGCTGGTTCCTCCTTGAGTTTAATTTTCAAAATAATACATCCACTTAAATGTACCAATTGTTCACACTCTGTGGTGGAAACTAAAAGATTAGAGGATACAGAAGCATGAAAAATGGTAATAGATACTGCAGACAGTGTGGAAAGAGGGTGGGAGATAGGGGAGAGTAAGAGGAAAGGAATCAAGGAGAAAAATAGAGAGATAAGACATATGAGGGGCACAGAAATGGATGATTATCTATTGATGATAATGTGTATGATGTTTTCAACTGGACTGATGTGAAGTGTATTCCTATTGGGTAAATTCATTTTACAAGCTGTAGTGATGTACAGTGATTGACTGTATAAAATAACTTAAAAAGAAAGACAAAAAATGTTTGTGGAAAAACCAAAGAAAGAAAAAAAGAACACTGATCCCCCCCAATTTTTTAAAAAATAATTTGTAAAAATTTAAAAAAAAAATAAATTGTATTCTTACATAGTAGCAATGAACAAGCCAAAAAGTAAACTAAGACATTCTACTTATAACAACATCAAAAAGAATAAAATGCTTAAGAATAAGTTTCACAAAAAAGTGAAAAACTTTGAAAACTGTAAAACATTGTATAAAGAAATTTAAAAAGAAAAATAGGGCCAGTCTGTGGCATGGTAGTTAAGGCAACTGGATCCCACATGTTCTTTGAGTTCTGAACATGGTGACTTGAAAAACATTAGGTGTGTTGTGCATGCAAGACCAAAATCCACGAAATAGGGATAAATAGACAAGAAGGAATTGCAGTATGATCATTACTCCTGAGGGATGCTTTCTCACCCCCATCTGCCTTCCAATCTCTGTCTGGTGAGTGCAAGTGCCCTTTGGCAAAAATTTTTAAAAATCACATATACAGGGACCAGCAGTTAGCGTAATGGCTATGTCGCTGGACTCCCACGAAGTCGACCGTGTTTCGAATCCCGGACCCGGTGGCTTAAACTCACACCGGGCGCATGTGGGTGCGTGCCCAAGGTTGCGAGAGGAGAATGGAGGAGAAGGGATTGTGGTGTGGCCATCCCCTCTGGGGGGTGATTTCTCGCTTTCTGTCTCTCTATCTCTATCTGTCTGGCGAGTGCACGTGCCCTATAGCAAAAACCTCTCAAAAAAAAAAATCACATATACATAAAATACTCTGCTTGTTCATGGACTAGAAGACTTAGTATTGTGATGATGCCAATATTTCCCAAATCAATTTATAGATTTACTGTAATTCTATCAAAATTCTAGTTGATTTGTTTGCAAAAATTGATAAGCTGATCCTAGAATTCATGTGGTAAAGCAGGGACCCCCAAACAGTCAAAATAATCTTGAAAAAAATTTGGAAGACTCCAACTTTAAAGTTTCAAAACTTATTTTAAAGCTACAGTTAATCAAGACAGTGGGATACTGGTATAAGACTAGATATAGATATTAGAACACAATTGAGAATTCAGAAATTATGGTCAACTGATTTTGACAAGGGTACCAACAGCATTCAGTGGAAGAAAAAGAATCTTTTCACAAATGGGGCTGGGACAACTAGATATACACATGCAAAAGAATATGCATTCTAGGGGCCAGCAGGTGGAGTAGTGGTTAACCGTAGTTCAAGATTTGGCTCCAGTGGCTTGAAACTCATGCCAGGTGTGTGTGCATGGGTGCTCAAAATCCCAGGAGTAAAATGGAGGAGAAGGGATTGAGTCATGGCCATCCTCCTTGGGAGTGGTATCTCTCTGGCAAGCACACATGCCATATGACAAAAATGAAAAAAAAAAAAAAAGAATATGCATTCTTTTTTATTCCTGCCTCAGACTATACGCAAATATTAGCACAAATGGATCAAAGACCTAAATATAAGAGCTAAAGCTATAGGGGCTAAGTAAATGGCATGGTAGTGAAGGCACTGGACTCCCATATGGCCAACCACAGTTTGAGTCCTAGGCCTGGCAGCTTGTTTTCTTTTTCCCTTCTCCTCCATTCTCCTTCTGAGATTTTGAGCATGCATGCACATGCACCCAGCATAAGTTTCAAGCCACTTGAACCACAGTCAGTCATGTGGGAGTCCAGAACTTTAACAATTAATCCCACCTGCTGCCTCTCGAAGAAATAATTCTTAAAATAAAAAAAGAGCTAAATCTATAAAGCTCCTAGAAAAAAATGGATGTAAATTTTCATGACCTTAAATAAGGCTTTTTTTTTTTAATTTTTAGATTTGACTCCAAAAGGACAAAAACACACAAACAAATGTATTTACAGGGCATCTTCAAAATTAAAAACTTTTGTGAATCAAAGGACACTACCAAGAAAGTGAGAAAGGCAATCCACAGAATGGTAGGAAACTTTGGCAAATCATTGTCTGATAAGGCACTTGTATCTAGAATATATAAAAAATTCCTACAATTCAATAGTAAAAAGACAACTACATTTAGAAATGGACAAAAAATATGACATTTCCCCCAAAGAAGATATACAAATTGTCAATACGCACATTAAAAGATTTCCTCAACACCATTAGCCATTGAGGAAATGCAAATAAAAACCAGAATGAGATATTATTTCACAGTCACTAAGATATAATAGAATAATAACAAGTGTGAAAAGGAATGTGAAAAATTTGGAAGACTTATTCTCTGTTGAAAAACATTCTGGCTTCCTCAGATAAACCTGGAATTACTACCCAATCCGGTGAGTCTACTCCTAGGTATATACTCAAGAGAAATGAAAACATATCCATACAAAAACCTATGTATGAATGTTTATTGGAACACTATTCATAATGGCCAAAATATGAGGTAAAAACTCCAAATACCCATAGAATGCTCAATGTATAAATTAAATGTATTATCCAATGTTCAGCAATAAATATTATATGATTCCATTTATCAATATATAACTGTTCAGAACAGGCAAAATAAATGGAGACAGAATATAGGTAAGTGATTATCCAGGGCTAAATGGGATAGGGGAACTGAGAGTTGGGTTGCTAATGGCTGTGGAGTTTCTTCTGAAAGTAGTAAAAATGTTTGTGATTTTAAAATTTGTGCTGATGGGTACACAACTCTGACTATTCTAACATTCACTTAATTGTTGCATGCTTTCATCGGTTTAATTGTATGATATGTGAATTAAACCTCAATAAAGCTGTTAAAATTGTTTTATTTTTTATGGGGGGGAGGGGTTTTTGCTATAGGGAGCATGCGCTCGCCAGAAAGACAGAGAGAGATATAGACAGAAAGCGAGAAATCACCCCCTAGCAGGGATAGCCATGCCTCAATCCCTTCTCCTCCATTTTCCTCTTGGGATCTTGGGCATACACACACGCACACGTGCCCGGCATGAGTTTAAGCCACTGGTTTCGGGACTCAAACTTCGGTCGACTACATGGGAGTCCAGTGACACAGCCATTATGCTAACTGCTGGTACCTAAAGCTGTTAAAAATGTTTTACCCAAACTTTTCATCTTTATATGACAATAAAATTAAGAAAGAGAAGTATTTCTCAGTAAGATAAACTTGTCCTCTCCTATACTAGGTCCAGTGGACCTAGTATACCAAAATACAAATATTTATTAGAAAAAAATTCTGACTTCTATCTGATTTCTTCCATTGCTTTTATATGTTTTTCTTTTCCTATCTTATAATAGAAACCATTTCGGGACCAGCAGTTAGCGTAATGGCAGCATAATGGCTATGTCGCTGGACTCCCACGTGGTCAACCGCGGTTCGTGTCCCAGACCCGGTGGCTTAAAACCCATGCTGGGCGCGTGTGCGTGCGTGCCCAAGATCCCAAGAGGAGAATGGAGGAGAAGGGATTGCAGCGTGGCCAACCCCGCTGGGGGATGATTTCTCGCTTTCTGTTTCTCTGCCTCTCTCTGTCTGTCTGGTGAGCGCACATGCCCTATAGCAAAAACCTCTCAAAAAAAGAAAAAAAGAAAAAAAAAAAGAAACCATTTAGTGGCCCGTGAGGTAAAAACAGACATTTATTATCCCTGATTGTAACTTACGCCTGAAGGATTGCTTGGCTTCTAAAATGAACTCTAAGTGATGCTGATCATTTTTATACATAGCTTAAATTTCAGAAGAAATTAACAATTTTCATACAGATTCACAAAAATACAATTTTCCTGGAAGTTTCATGACTCACCATCAATTGGCAATGTTTTCAGCAGCTTTTCTAGTTCCTTCTCTGTGAGCTTAATACCAAGGTTTTCCAGAACATTTTTTACATCACTAGACTCAATCTTTGCACCTATGAAAATAAGAGATTAGGTATAGATCACCATTTTAGATAGCAGTGCTTATTTCTAACAAAAAGTAACTTATGAAGATTAACACCACATTAATTTTCACGTTGAAGACTAAAAATAAAATATTTTCTACTAAAAAATTGATGGATATGTTAGGTCAAATTTATTTATGTAGTATAAGTTTTTCTTGCAATTGGCAAAAGATAACTTCCAGAATAAAATCAGATCAATAATTTAAAATATAAATTCTTATATAAACCTTTCTTCAAAAGTTAATTTATTTTTAAGAGAGATTTTTGCTATAAGGTACATGTGCTCACCAGAGAGACAGAGAGAAACAGAGATATAAAGCTAAAAATCAACCCCCAGAGGGGAGGGCCATGCCGCAATCCCTTCGCCTCCATTCTCCTCTCGGGATTTGGGGCCATGCACACAACATGAACCTGGCGTGAGTTTAAGTTGCTAGGTCCAGGACTTGAACCACAGTTGTCTATGTGGGAGTCCAGTGACATAACCATTACACCATCTGCTGGTCCCCCAAATTATTTTAATTTCTAAAATAAGAATTATATGATGAAAACCATGAAGATATTGCCTGGATAATTTCAAAGCTACACTGTTATTTCCTGTGCTTCTCTGTTATGTTTATTAAACATTAGTGAAGTGAATTATATTATTGGTAAAAATAACAAAGTTTATAGAAGTAATACTACTATTTCATCCCAAAAACTTAGATAATTTTGTCAGTACATTGAGTATTAGAGGTAAATATTTTATTAATAAATATGAAAAAAATCCAGATTTGCAAGTCAGTAACACAGTACTGTGAAAAATGATAGAAAAACAAAATTTAATGTGCATAAGAAGAATCCTAATTTGACAGTAACTCTTCTCTTACCTGTAAAATCTTTGACTTTTTCCATCAGTGTTTCTAGAGGCATTTTCTTATCAACTATAGGAGAAGACAGAAATTATACTGAGGTATAATACAGACTCAAAGTAACTTGCTGGAAAAGCATAGGAATAACCATGGTGGTTGCACTAGTATTTTTCCGGCACCATCCTAATTGCTTTAGACAGTTCAGAAGCATTTATTGAACACATTTTCTAGATTACTATTTTACCCAAGCTTTAACAAGCAAGGAAAAAAAAGAAAATTCTAAATATGAAAATCTTACAGGAGACATACAAATGGTATATAAGAAGATGCTTAATATCACTAATCATTAGGGAAATGCAAAGAAAAGCCACACTGAGATACATGATACCTGTTAGAACAGCCATTATAAAAAAATTAAAGATAACAAGTACTGGTGAAATGTAGAGAAAAAGGAAACTTTACACAATGTTGTCAGAAATGTAAATTTGTACAGCCATTGTGGAAAACAGTATGAAGTTCCTGAAAAAGCTAAAAATACAATTATCATATGATCCAACAATCCTCCTACTGGATATATCCAGAGAATAAAACCAGTAATGTTGAAGAGATATCTGCACTCCCATGTTCACTACAATGTTACTCAAAATAGTAAAGATATGGAATTAATCTATATGTGCATCAAAAGATTAATGGACAAAGAAAATGTGTTATGTAACACACAATGTACTACTAGTCAGCCTTAAAAAAGGAAGGAAATACTGTCATTTGCAACCACATGGATCATCTTTGAGGGCATTATGTAATGTGAAATAAGCCAGGGATAAAAATTGAAATATTACATGATCTCACTCATATGTGGAGTGTAAAAAATTGAGCTCATATAAGTAAAAGTAGAACTATTGTTATTAGGGAAAAGGGGAGGGTTTGGAAGATGTTGGCCAAAGGATATACAATTTCAATTAGATAGGAGGAATGGGTTCAAGAGATCCATTTATTGTACAACATAGCTACTATAGTTAATAACTATTATATTCTTTAAAATTTGCTGAAAGTAGAATTTTTAAGTGTTCTCACCACAAACAATAAGTATGTGAGGTCAAACCTATGTTAATTAGCTAGTTCAGCCATTCTACAATGTATACACAATTCAAAACAATATGTTGTACACTCTATATATATATATATATATATATGTATATATATATATATATATATACACATACTTATTTTTTTCCTCAGAGAAGTGAAAAGATTTGATTACATAGAAGTAGAGAGTGGAATAACAGGTATCAGAAGCTGGGAAGGGGAAGAGCAAGACAGGGAGAACTTGGTCAGCAGATAGAAAATTTTAAGTAGGCAAGTGGAATGCATTCTGGAGTATTCTAGCACAGTAGAATATCTATAGTTGGTGATGACTCAATAAATATTTCAAAATAGAAAAGAGAATTTCTAATGTTCACAACAAAAAAGTAATGATAAATGTTTGAGAAGCTAGATACATTTATTGCTGTTTGCATAATCATATATTCAGGTAGTGAAAAACCACATTGTACCCCAAAAGTATCTACAATTATTATATGTTGATTAAAATGACAAAAATACACAAATTAAAAATAATTTTACAATATTTTAAGAAAAAATTTAAAATGAAATTAAATAAAAATGAAAAGAATTGCAATGATACAATTTCTGGCCTATAATATCTCAAATGTATCTGCTAGTTAGAAGCAGCAGTTCAGCAGTGGATTTATATCAAGAGTCCACATTCTCGTATTCAATATTTGGAAGACTCTATCACTAATGATGGCACTTGTCAAGAGCATAAAAGTCACATGTAGCAAAAAAGCAATGTTTTAATTTTGACTTTGTTAATTAGCTGCTCATATGCTTAAATGAAATTTGTTCTGTTTTGGTCACTGACATTATGTAGCACCATAACACTGCTGTTAATGGGCCTTTCTATCTGCCTATGAAAAGAACATTTCTTCCCTTATTTTTACTCAAAGGTTTTCTTAACTGAACTCTCCTCAGGCTAAATATTGTGTTAGGATTTGAAGGTTTTTCTCCTCCAAAACTCATGTTAAAATTTTTCATTTTTAGGTTTTTGCCATAGAGTGTGTGTGCTCACACTCACTGGAGAGACACAGAGAGCAAGAAAGAGAAAGAGAGGGGGAAAGTAAGAAATAACCCCACAGGGTAGATGCCCCTGCTGCAATTCCTTATCTTCTATCATCCTCTTCAGATTTTGGGCATGCACCCACATATACTTGGCATAATTTTCAAGCTGCCAGGTCCAGGACTTGAACCATAGGTGACCATATGGGAGTCCAGTGCCTTAAACCACTCTGCCACTTGCTGGTTCCAATTCATGTTAAATTTAATTGCCATTGGAACAGTAGTAGCAGGTAGGACCATTAGAGGTTAATTAAGCCATGAGGGCTCTGTCCTTATAAAAGGCAAATTCTCCCCTTTGCATCTTTGTCCTTCTACCTTTTGCCAGTGATAACATAGCAAGAGGCCCTCTTTAAATGCCTGCATCCTGATCTCAGACTTCCCAAGTTCAAGAATTGTGAAAAACTATGTTAGTCTTCTGTATAAATTACTAAGTCAGTGGTTTTATACTAAAGTGGCACAAAATGAACAAAGATATATGGTATCTGGTAACATGCTCACCACCAACATGTATGTTTTGAGTCAGATCTTTTAGTTCCTTCTCTGCAAGTTTGATTCCTAGATTGTCCAGAATGGTGTCCAGATTGTTGACATTGACTTTTCCACCTTAAGAAAAGGAATAGTACATAAAAAACAATAAAACTCCAAAAAAAGTCATTAAACTTTCTTGATACACACACTTCACTTTGAATTTCTTGGACAGAATATCATTACTTACTAAGTTTGTGTACTATTTCAGAGAGGTTATCTACTCACTGAAGCCTCTTCAAGGATCTCCTCAAAGTCTACTAACCTTAGCTTAACAAGGCTAGCTAAAGTAAAAAAAAAAAAATCTATCAATTAACAATCAACATTTTTAGCACAGAGGCCAAATATTTTTAACTACTCAGAGGTCAATTTTGAAATTATAATTAAGGTTACTTCTCTTGAGACATGGCTTGGGATTAGCCTACACAACACAAAATTTCAAATGGCATGGAATTCAGGTTCTGGAAGCAAACACTTAACTTCTGAACAACATATGAATTGATTTTTTAAAAAATTTTTATTTAATTTTTTTCCAGTTTGAGCAGACAGTGAGAGAGAGAGAGAGAGAGAGAGAGAGAGAGAGAGAGAGAGAGAAAGCAAGCTACCAGATCTAGGACTTGAACCACAGTTGGTCATGTGGGAATCTATTGCCTTTAACCACCACGCCACCTACTGGCCCCAATGGATTGACTTTTAATAACCAAATTCCGAATTCCCAGTTCAATTTTTATCTGCTGCTGATTAAATTCCTGGAATCACTGCCAATTATTTTTGTAATTTTTTGCCATTCAAATTGAAATTCATTATTTCCTTTCTTTAAAAGTTGGAAAAATCACAATAGAGTACAGGAATTTTTTTCCAAGACAGAACAGAGAAGATTTATCTGCTAAAGATTGGGCTTTAAAAAAATATAAATTTGAGATAACATGTACAAATATAGTATCTTGGAAACAGTATAAAATGAATCTTATATTCATTTGTATCATTATTATATTCTCACTCACCTTTGAGAGATGTTACATCTTCCAGTAATCTGTTCTTAAAGACCTTGTTATCATCTATAAAAAGGGGCAAAATTCAGGTCATTAAAAAAATGATGTCACTATTGTTAAAATTACTTTAGTAAAGCTGAGATTTTCATGATTTTCCCTAGAAATTTCTCCCATTAAAATAATATATGAGCGAATATGACAGAAATTTATGAAATGGTAAGGCTATAGCATATAATGTACTGTACAACATTCACAACTCTACTCTTTCTCTGCGTGTGTGTGCGTGTGTGTGTGTGTGTGTGTAAGTCTACCTCTTGTGTTACCTTCTAATTTAACATTACTCTTGTCCCTTTTTTTTTTTTTTTTTACCTCCAACAATCACCTATGGGTGTCTAAATGGTAACGGTAACCTTTGAAATTTCTTCCATTGTTGGCATAACTTAAAATAATGGGGATGCTTATTCCCAAATTAAAAGTTAAAACTGCATACATAGAAATTGCTCTCAGGTATAAATGAACATTTCAGTTATATAGAGAAGGGTTTTAATTTTTTCAATCTTAAGAAATGGAGAGAGTTTCAAAAATTTTCAGATAAAACATAAAAGACTAAGAACCATTTAGGATCACATCTGTATTTGAAATGCTTACCATTAAAAGGCAGGTTATTCACCAGTTCCAAGCATTCTTCATCTGTCATTTCTATTCCCATGTTTCTCAAAATAGTTTTCACATCTCTGGCATCAATTTCCCCTCCTTAAAAAAGATAGACATCATTGCACATATGAATTTAAAAGTTTATTTAATGATTCCAAATAGGGAAAAATAACCTATAGCTATTGAGTTGATAGAAAAGTCGTGAAATATTTTTCTATGCAAAAATGTATAATGACTTTTCCAACAACCAAATTTATAGCATGATAAGGTCCTGAATCAAGAGCAGAGGTTAGTGAGACCTCTACAAGAACAGTGACTATGATATTCACAGAAAAGGATTTGATCTTTACATGCTAATAAATGAAGGCACACCCATAATGACAGTTGCAAGGTAACTGCATTCTGTGAAATCCACATAAATCTCTCTGTTCAATTGGAATATTTTTAATGACTTACTTAAATAATTGTATCAGCAAATGTAACACCTGTTACTCTCATCTTTATGTTATCTGGGATCTTTGTCAAAGCTTTACTCCACCTATTACTTCACTAATATAGAGTTGGCTGTTCTTAAAAGAAAAAAAACATCATATATACACTTTAAAAATACCAGGAAACAAGTGAAATGCTGCTTGTTGGTTTTAAACATTTCAAAAATTAAGAGGTAATTTTTTTTTAAAGTGGCAACTAAGGGTTTATGGTAAATACAATTACTGTTAGTGCCAAAGCAGTCATAGTTTCTCTTACCTGTAATAGCTTTTACTCTATCCATAACGTCTTTCAGATCAACCTTTCCATTAGCTGCAAGAAAAGTCTCAATGAAGATAATATTATAAGCTAAGTAAATAAATATATGACACATTTTTTGTGGGAAAATTTAATACAAATTTTTATATCTTAATTTTATCTTCCTCATTAGAGTCCTGCATTTCAAGGAATTAAGATTATTTCCATTAAAAGGGAGGTCCTTTATATCTTAGAACCTGGGTTAGCAAAAGTGTATTCTCCATAGTGATTTTGCAAGCCACTGTAAACCATAATTGAAGATACCACTGGGGTTGGAGAGGTATTCTGATAACCACACAGCTGAGCACTAAACTAGTCTGGTTTGTTCTAAGATTGCTTCCTGCAGTATGAACTATGCTGATGTATTAGTAAGGGCCAATAGAAAGGGATGGAAGCATTGATCAGAGATATAGAGGGATACAAAAGACTTCATAAGGAGAGGCTGAGGAAAGAGAAAAATCTAGGGACATCATACTATGTATGTGAAACTACAAGTAGTTCAACATGGCTTGAGGAAGAAAAAAAGAGAAGGTATGATCCCAGGGACTTGGATGGAGTTTTAAGGTCCTGTACACTATGATAAGAATCTTGGAATTCATTTTATGGTGAAGACTTCAATTGACAGGGGAATGGACAGAAGAATGGGCCTGTTGGCTCCTTTGTAGTTTTTCACATTCCCATATTTTCTTACTAGTCTAGATCTATGAGAGTCTTAACAGCATCCTCAGCAGTTCTTGGAATACTGGGAACCGAATTGTAATGAAGACTCAAGATTTAGTTGTACTGTAATATGATCTCTTCTCCAAATTTGCTAATGTGTATCTGTCACCAATGAAGTCTATTTTTAAAAATGTATCAGATATAAGGGAAAGATAAGATATCCCGAGGATGTAAACCTACCATCAACTTGCAGATTTTTTGACAGTTTTGCAAGTTCCTCTTCTGTGAGCTCAATTCCCAATTTTGCAAGAATATGGTCCAGGTTATTTACATGAATCTTCCCCCCTTAAAAAAGATACAATGTAGGAACATGAAAAAAAAAAGTGTAATATATCAAAATTCTGCATGAGTAGTATTATTATTAGTATCTTTAAAGACTGTGGTGGTTTGTACTCCATCTAAAAGTCAAAACTACATTTTCAAGAATAGCCTTTCCTGTATAATTTTGAGGCAGAGTTCAACATGGAGAAACTTGAATGAAATTTGGAAGGCAGAGTGAAGCAGCAGCCACTGCACTCCAACTGATGCAGGTTGCCAGCTGCCATCACAGTTTGCTCATGCCATTGCCTCTCTACTAGTTCAGCTTTGTTAGTTTGGGGCAGCTAGGCTCGTAGCTCTTCTAATCTCATTCCAGTTTCTTCCTTTGGCTTCTCTGAGTCCTGGGTCGACCATGTGTGCATCTCCATGGCAAAGGATGACAGTTTCTTCTGTGGGTCACCCCGTCATTGGAGTTGGAAGTGGGGAGAAATACATGAAGTTCTCAGTTTGTTTTGGGGGATTCCAGTTTCTCCACACTCTTGTCCACTTCATGTCTGGTTTTCTTTCCCAATGCCTGGCTGTGCTGATTGCCAGTGACTTCTGGCTTATCACTATACACAGAGGCAACAATTCTCACAGACTTCTCCAGGTCCCACAATTCCTAGGTTAAAATCTGGGTAAGGGACTCAAAAGGCTTCCAAGATCAGTCTTAAAGAAACCCTTATTTCCTGTAGGTATAGTATGAAATTTCCAAAAACTAAATGCAAAGTTTAATTCTGAATTTTAATTCAAATTGAATTTCTAAGCTGTTAGGTTCTCTGGTACCCTGAAATTTGGGATGGCTACATATGGGCAGCAGATTCTGATGAAACTGGGGACATGAACCTCTAAATTCTGCCAAGCTTCTTGTGTTAGCAGAAATAACCTCTCTTCCCCCATTACTGTTGCCTCAAAAACATGTAATGGCCTCCCTGAAGGAGGTCTTTCAGGGGACCACTGCTCTTCAAGATCCACCCTAGTAACCTTCTATTATTTCTAGACCCAAAATCAGACTTGTTTACAGCAGGGCCCCAGGTAATAAGGTACAAAGTGTGACTTGTAAGAAACTACAGGATACTCCAAAAGAGTTGTAAGATTGTTGTCAATTTACTGACATAATGAATCCTGAGTGATGGATTGGGTAGAAAAAAATACAATGTTGTACTGTGCTGAATTTGATGATGTAGGTATTATAAACAGATATTATGATTAGTTGTGTTAGTTCAAGTGGCTAGAAATGGCTATGCCAATTTGCTTTTGACTGAAATTTGGATCCCAAAGTAGCCCATACTAAATAAAGTTGAAATTCCCAAACTTTCTTGGTATACTATGTAGCAATGCTGTTCAATAGAAATATAACTGCTTTTGTGCAAGAGTAGCAGAGTAGAGAAGTCGCTACAAAGACTGTATGGCTCACAAAGCCACATTTACAACCCTGCTCTAGACCTTTCCAAGGACCATAGTTAGAAGGTGGGTTAATAGGTCTTACATGATAAATCTATTCCAGAATTCTGATCTCTCTATGCTTTCACATGTCTTCCCCTATCATTGTGCTAGCTAATGCAATTAGCCAGTATCCATATATGGTTCCTGAGCACCTGAAATGTGCTCCATTGTTTTGAGTCACATATATAGTTTTAAAATTTTTAGTAGTCATATTAAAAAATAAATATAGGTGAAATAAATTTTCATGGTATATTTTAATTCTATATATCTAATTATCATTTAAACATAATCCATATAAAATTAATTAACTATTTTACATATTTTCGTGCTAGGTCTTTGAAATCTAGTGTGTAATTTACACTTGAAGCACGTCTCTATTTGAATTAGTCACATTTAAAATAGTTAATGCTGCTACTGAATTAAGTTCTTTGGATTTACTGTTGATAATGGAATCTTGAATTGGCAGGGATCAAGTGGTGGCACTTAATTGCCAGAGACAAGATGAACGTGGCTACCATAAAGTTAAAGCAGTAATCAGAATGGTTTCACTCAGAGAGATATCTGGCAGTGACTAAATGATCATGGTATCCTTAGAGCTGAAACAGATGAATAGCTTAAAAAAATCCTCTTGGTCTGGTGAACAGAAATATGAACTGAATAACAAAGAAATAGAGCCATAGCCCCTCAATTTATTGCCCGACTTTGAGCCAGTTCACAAGGGCTAGAGTCCCTTTGTGGAAGGGAAGCAGGGTCTCCCTGAAGATGAGATCTGTAGTCATTAACTAGGATAATGTGCATTAGAGCAGGAGGTACAAATTAGACTTGGGGAAGTACCGTAAACTGACCCTAACTGGACTAATTCTTGGAGACCCAAAACGCAACCATATTTCACCATTCAGAATGTGGTCTCATAGAAGTAAGGTGATCATTACAATGAAAGTTTAGCTTATTCATTACACAGATCTGGAAGATTACTGAACCAATCCTGTGATTATTTCTCCCACTCCAAATGCAAAGTTGGAATAGACATACTGAACAACTGGTAGAATTCCTTCATGGGTTCCCTTACCTGTGGAGTAAGTGCAATTATGGTACGAAAAATACAGGAAAATTGTCACTTAATAAAATTGTAAGTCAAAATGACACCACATTTTTTGGAGGGGCAGGAGAAACTAGAACCATCATTAAGAATTTAAAAGATGCCAGAGTAGAGACTTCTATCATATACCCGTTCAATTTGTCTATTTGGCCTGCACAGAAGACAGATCTTGGAGAATGACAGTTGATTATTGCAAACTTAATTAGGTGGTCACTCCAATTGCAGCTTCTATTTCAGATGTAATTTTGATACTGATGAAAATCAACATTTCCTTGACACCTGATACATAGCTATTAACATAGTGAATGCTTCTGTCCTCCACACTTATCAGCACAAACCAAAGAAGCTTTATTTCAGTGGGAGGGCTAGTCATCTACCCTCACTGTACTATGTCAGAAGATCTATCAGCGTAGCAGTCCTAGGTCTTAATAGAGTCATGTGGCTTTTAATTGCCTTTTCATTCTACATGACATTATGCCTGATTCTTAGTGGGTCATCAGAATGACGTATATTTTCCTATGTTCTTCCATGCAAAAACATGCTGTGACCTTTCTGACAACCCTATACACCGATGATGAAATTCTGATTGAACTCGATGAGCAGGAAGTGGTCATTTTTCTACACAAGTTGTGAAGATACAAGCATGTTAGAAGGTAGAAAATAAAGCCCACAAAAATTCAAGGGCCTGCCACTTTGGTGAAGTTTCCAAAGTCCTGTGGTCCAGAACAATTTAAGATAATTATTTTAAGTTGACAGAGATGCTATCTAGAGGTTTTGGGAAAATCCTGTATGTGAATCCCTATAAAGATTTTTAGGGTTTTGAATAGATATGCCATCCTCTGCAAATAACTATTTTATTTTTGAGAAAAAGTTCTGTCTTATAATTTAATACTAAGGAAACTGAATATTTGGCTATTGGTCATTCAATTACCATGCAAATTGAGCTTCTCATGATCAAGTGGGTATTATCTGACCCACCACGCCATAAAATTGGGCATGAATAGAACCATCTACAATCAGATGGAAGTGGTATTAAGCAGATCCTAAAATCACAAGTAAAAGGCATGAACAAGGAGTCTGTTGCTTTTGCCCACTCCTCTTCCTAAATTGCCTCCTTTCCCTCAACCTGCACAAGATTTCATGGATTTCTTACAGCAGGTTGACTGAGGAAGAAAAAATGTGGATCTGAGATACTTTGCACTCCACAAATTAACAAGTAAAAAAAAGAAATGACTTTACAAGTTGGGGTGATTGATCCTGACCATCAAGAGAAAGTTGCGTGTCTATTACATAATAGAGATAAACAGATAAATCTGTTATCTAGAGAATCTTTTAATATTCTCTTGTCCTGTGAGTGAAGCTAATCAAAAATTAAATAACCCAATACAATACAAACAGGACTTTAATGACCCTTATAGTTCATGGATAAAATTTATAAAATATCCTTCAGGATCATCCATCAGACAAGGAGCTAGGAGCAGCCGAAGTGCCGGGTGAGGACAAAGGTAATATGAAATTGGCAGTGGTACAAGAAAGGTCCAAGTACTAGGCACAACCCATAAGCAGCTGCCAAAGGACTGTACAAGTACTGTAATACTTAGGACAATTTGCATTTTATTTGATATAAATATATTTGTGAGTATTTTAACCAATTCTTTTATTTTTTTTCTTTCATCGCTCATCCCTTTACCATATACATAAGTCCATAGACTTATGTCACTTAAATTACTGGATGTCAAGGAGGAATGTGACTCAGTTAGGAAAGGAATGAATATAAACTAGAGAGAGATAAAAGGCTATCTTGGATTTTGTAACACCTTCTGAGGAAGAAGCTAGCATAGTTTTTATTGTAAGAGAGATGTTATTGTTTTTATCTGATTGATAAGAAGGGTTCAAAAGGTACATATAAGTGCCAAGTTGCCAAAGGATAGATGATGGTGGATTTTTACTGTCTCAGATTAGCTAATTGGATTACATTTATATAAATTCTTTCCCTGTAGAGTTCTGGCTGGCTACAGAAAAATTTGTACCAGCTTTGGAAGGCACAAGTAAAGCAGCTGTTATACTCTGAAGGGTAATACAGGGCTCCAGGTGCCATCACAGTTCATAACATTGCACTTAGTCTGATGACTCATCTTGTTATCATGGCATGGAAGGAACGCCTACAGATCCTTCGGCTTTTGCCACATTTCCTCTTTAGATTCTCTGAGTCTTGGGCTAGGTGTATGTACATCTTCAGAGGGAAAGGTGCCGGTTTCACTTGTAGTTCATTCATATTCTTTTGTGTGGAGGAAGCAAGATAGAACCAAGTCCAATTTGTCCTCATGGGTTCTAGTTTGTCCTTGTCCAATTCTTTCATGTCCAACTTTTCTTTCTGACTGCTGCTGCACCGACTATAGTAATTTCAGGACTTCAGGACTATCACCGGAAGCAGAGATAGCAGCTTTCAAAGAGTTCTTCACCAGCTCTCACAACAGCATAAATCTAATTTTTTTTTTTTTGAGAGGTTTTCACTATAGGGCGCATGCGCTTGCCAGATAGACAGAGAGAGACATAGAGCTAGAAAGCGAGAAATCACCCCCCAGAGGGGATGGTCACGCCGCAATCCCTTCTCCTCCATTCTCCTCTTGGGATCTTGGGCATGCACGCACATGCGCCTGGCGTGAATTTTAAGCCACCGGGTCCGGGATGTGAACCGCGGTCGACTATGTGGGAGTCCAGCAACATAGCCATTATGCTAACTGCTGGTTCCCGTAATTCTTATAATAGGTCCCTTATTCCATTTTCCTCACAATAATTCTGCTTCTGTGAACTCTAACACAATGACTATAATTTGATTAAAATAAGACAAATATTATATATAAATTAAAAATTATAATAAAATTATTATTAGAAAATAAAGGAAGACAAAAAAGAAGGCATATTTTATATCTTTGTATAATTACCATTTTCCCCAAAGCTGAAACCACAAACAGTTTGTCTAAGTATATAAAGTCAACAAAATAGTTAAAATTGAATCTTTTCTTTTTTTTTTCTGGAGAGGTTTTTGCTATAGGGTGTGTGCACTCACCAGACAGACAGAGAGAGACAGAGAGATAGAAAGCGAGAAATCACCCCCCAGGGGGGGGATGGCCACACCGAAATCCCTTCTCCTCCATTCTCCTCTTGGGATCTTGGGCATGCACGCACACGCACCCGGCATGAATTTTAAGCCACCGGGTCCGGGACTCGAACCATGGTTGACTACATGGGAGTCCAGCGACATAGCCATTATGCTAACTGCTGGTCCCAAAATTCAATCTTTTCTTAATGAAGTGATGGGAAGTGGGGAGAGTACAAAGTTACAAAAATAACAAAAAAAGCAGGAGTATATGGAACTTTCCACAAGATAAAATATATACTGTTATCAGTTAAAATGTAGATAGACTGAAAGTAAAAAATAAGAAATTATATTGAAGTAAAGAGCTAGCATTAGAATTGAATAGTATAAAGTTGGAGAATGCTGGACAATATACTCTCTTTTTTCACTTAATTTTATTCATTGTCATTATTTTATTTTATTTTATTTTTTTGAAGCTGACCAGAGAGAGAAAGAAAATGAGAAAGCAAGCAAAGCAAGCTGGCAGGTCTAAGACTCGAACCATGGTCAGTAATGAAGGAGTCCAGCTGCCTTAACCACCTTGCCACCTGCTGGCCCCAAATATACTTTTTAATTGGGTTATTTACTTACCCTTAAGAGACTTCACACCCTTCAACAATCTATTGTGATATACTTTTCCAGCATCTATAAGAAAAAGCATAATTCATTTAATCATGAAACCAACATGAGATCACAAAAATGGCATCAATTAAGTAATTTCAGAAACATTTTAAAAAGTTTATTTATTCCATGAGCAAAAGAGAGGAGAGAGAGAGAGAGAACCCCCAACAGGGTCTTCACCCCAATCCACCCCATCCTTCAGCTAACCCTGGATCATGGGCAAGCATGTACCTGGAGTATTCAGGGAGATTGCAAGACTTGAACTACCTCACATAGTGCTGTGCTTTACTGCTGCGCCACTGTCTGGCTGGCCCCAGGGAAAACTCAGTAAGAAGAGCTATGTCTAATTTTTATTTTGATTCACTTAATACAGTGAAGGTAGCGAATAGAATTGTTCACACTGTGACAAACTTTTCTACTGTAGTATCTGAGGGAGTCTATGTAAGTATAGCTTCTATTTATTTAGATTTTTGCTATAGGGCACGTATGCTTGTCAGAGAGACAGAGGAAGACAAAGTGAGAAATCGCTCCCTGAGGGAATGGTCACACTGCAATCCTTTCTCCTCCATTCTCCTCTCGAGATTCTGGGCACACACGTGCGCCTGGCCTAAGTTTCAAGCTGCTACGTCAGGAACTCGAACTGCTGTTAACCATGTGGGAGTCCAGCACCTTAACTATTATGTTACCTGTTGGCCCCAGTTTACTTTATTTTTATTTTTGCTTCCTAACTTTATTTATTTATTTATTTTTTTACCATTCATGTTTCTTTCTCTCTTTTTTTTTTCTTGCTGTGATATAAGCAAATTATTGGCCCCATGAATAACATGCTAGTGTCATTTTGTTTGAAGAGTTCCCTAATTTGAGATATTAATTATATACATTTTAAATGACAATTACAAGGTTGCTATATAACTTAGATCTCAATTTCTATTTGTTTTTATTTACCAGAGAGTATGTGTGCTTGCCAGAGAGAAACAGAGATTGAGTGAGAGGGAGAGGGAGAAAGCACCCCTCAATGGAATGTGGTCATGCTACAATCCCTTCTCTTCCATTTCTCCATCCCATTGGGATCTTGGGCAAGCATGCATATGAGCTTGTCCATAGAGACTTCCAGCATGTTTTTTAAACCACAGGGGCCAGGATTTGAACAATTTAGTGGGATCTGGATTCCTAAATCACTAAGCCACAAGACTGGCCCTAGATTTTTTTTTTTTTTTTTAAAGAGAGAGATTTTTGCTATAAGGCACATGCATTTGCTAGACAGACAGACAGAGATGGCAAGCAAGAAATCATCCCCCAGGGGGGATGACCATGCTGCAATCCCTTCTCTTTCATTCTCCCCTTGGGATCTTGGGCATGCACACACATGTGCCTGACATGTTTTAAGCCACTAGGTCTGGGACTCGAATCATGGTCAATTAAGATTAAGTGAGAGTCTAGCAACATAACCATTACATCATCTGCTCGTCCCATACCTAGATTTTTTTTTAAACTTTTTTTTTCTTCTTTCTGCATTTTAGAGAAAAATTAAACAGAAACAGAGTTGATTTTTACATAGACCTACACAATTTTTTTAAAAAATGAGATTTGGTGAAAGTTTCCGTGAATCTCTTTAATGACTCACCATCAGTTGGTAACGTTTTCAACAGCTTCTCTTGTTCTTTATCTGTGAGCTCAATCCCCAGGTTCCTCAGGACATTTTTCAGATCTCTGGAATCAACTTTCTCTCCTGTCAAAAGGGGGGATGGTAGACATATGAATGTTAGGTACTATCATATCATCTCAAGTCATAAAATATACTTTATGCAAGTTCATGACACCCCAGTTTTCAACCTGAAGAATCAACTGTAGAGTCACTGGGTATGTTTTATGTACAGGCTTAATATAAAGAGAGCTCTTCCTAAGGTTGGTAAAGACAACTTTTAGAATGAAATTTGATTAGTGAATTAAGATAGTAAAGATTCTTAAATTATCCTTCAAACATACTTACTTGGTGATAATTATTTGATGATTTCAATGAATACTATCTTGATCATTTCTAAGCTGAACCATGCCATTTTATGTGTTTTTAGATTATGCTGCTGAACCACTGTCTGGCTGGCCCCAGGGAAAACTCAGTAAGAAGAGCTATGTCTAATTTTTATTTTGATTCACTTAATACAGTGAAGGTAGCGAATAGAATTGTTCACACTGTGACAAACTTTTCTACTGTAGTATCTGAGGGAGTCTATGTAAGTATAGCTTCTATTTATTTAGATTTTTGCTATAGGGCACGTATGCTTGTCAGAGAGACAGAGGAAGACAAAGTGAGAAATCGCTCCCTGAGGGAATGGTCACACTGCAATCCTTTCTCCTCCATTCTCCTCTCGAGATTCTGGGCACACACGTGCGCCTGGCCTAAGTTTCAAGCTGCTACGTCAGGAACTCGAACTGCTGTTAACCATGTGGGAGTCCAGCACCTTAACTATTATGTTACCTGTTGGCCCCAGTTTACTTTATTTTTATTTTTGCTTCCTAACTTTATTTATTTATTTATTTTTTTACCATTCATGTTTCTTTCTCTCTTTTTTTTTTCTTGCTGTGATATAAGCAAATTATTGGCCCCATGAATAACATGCTAGTGTCATTTTGTTTGAAGAGTTCCCTAATTTGAGATATTAATTATATACATTTTAAATGACAATTACAAGGTTGCTATATAACTTAGATCTCAATTTCTATTTGTTTTTATTTACCAGAGAGTATGTGTGCTTGCCAGAGAGAAACAGAGATTGAGTGAGAGGGAGAGGGAGAAAGCACCCCTCAATGGAATGTGGTCATGCTACAATCCCTTCTCTTCCATTTCTCCATCCCATTGGGATCTTGGGCAAGCATGCATATGAGCTTGTCCATAGAGACTTCCAGCATGTTTTTTAAACCACAGGGGCCAGGATTTGAACAATTTAGTGGGATCTGGATTCCTAAATCACTAAGCCACAAGACTGGCCCTAGATTTTTTTTTTTTTTTTTAAAGAGAGAGATTTTTGCTATAAGGCACATGCATTTGCTAGACAGACAGACAGAGATGGCAAGCAAGAAATCATCCCCCAGGGGGGATGACCATGCTGCAATCCCTTCTCTTTCATTCTCCCCTTGGGATCTTGGGCATGCACACACATGTGCCTGACATGTTTTAAGCCACTAGGTCTGGGACTCGAATCATGGTCAATTAAGTGAGAGTCTAGCAACATAACCATTACATCATCTGCTCGTCCCATACCTAGATTTTTTTTTAAACTTTTTTTTTCTTCTTTCTGCATTTTAGAGAAAAATTAAACAGAAACAGAGTTGATTTTTACATAGACCTACACAATTTTTTTAAAAAATGAGATTTGGTGAAAGTTTCCGTGAATCTCTTTAATGACTCACCATCAGTTGGTAACGTTTTCAACAGCTTCTCTTGTTCTTTATCTGTGAGCTCAATCCCCAGGTTCCTCAGGACATTTTTCAGATCTCTGGAATCAACTTTCTCTCCTGTCAAAAGGGGGGATGGTAGACATATGAATGTTAGGTACTATCATATCATCTCAAGTCATAAAATATACTTTATGCAAGTTCATGACACCCCAGTTTTCAACCTGAAGAATCAACTGTAGAGTCACTGGGTATGTTTTATGTACAGGCTTAATATAAAGAGAGCTCTTCCTAAGGTTGGTAAAGACAACTTTTAGAATGAAATTTGATTAGTGAATTAAGATAGTAAAGATTCTTAAATTATCCTTCAAACATACTTACTTGGTGATAATTATTTGATGATTTCAATGAATACTATCTTGATCATTTCTAAGCTGAACCATGCCATTTTATGTGTTTTTAGATTATGCTTATTTAAACCTTTGCGAAGTGAAGCATATTGGCATAACGGACAGAGATTTTAAGATTTCAAATTACAGTCTTGCTTCCTATTGAAAAGTCTTTATAAGTTTATGTAAGTCTTAGCAGCCTTAGATGTATTTCATGATAAAACATTAGGATTTAGTCAGATACTAAAATACTACAGAAAAACTAAATTTAATATATAAAATTGAAATAACAGATTTACAGCAATTTCTTACTCACCTGTAAAAGGTTTTACTTTATTCATCAGTGTTTCTAGAGAAATCTTCCTACCAACTGTGGAAAAAGATCAGAGTCACACTGAAATAAAAAAGACTCACAAAACATGTAGCAGGTACTATCCTAAATGTCATCTATATTAAGAAATATTTACTGAATAATATTTCTATGCTATTCTTCTATTCAATTTTATTGCCTTCCTTCATGTTAAAAAGAAAAGCTTAGTGTAAAAAAACTATTTCAATAATGTAAATTTTACTTTACTTTTATAACACCTCCCTACTATATGTTAGTGATGGAAGGAATTTGGAAGTACCATTATCTTGAGAACTTGGACATTTTCTATTCAAAATATTAAAGACTGACTGTCCACTACTGACCACAATATGGGTAGCAAATATAAAAGATACATAGAAAGTGTAATTTTTTGTTGTTGTTGCTTTTTTTTTTTTTTAATGTTTTTGCCATAGGGTGTGTGTACTTGCTGGAGAGAGAAACAGACAGTGAAAGGGAAAGTAAGCCATCAACCCCCAAGGGAGATGGCCATACCACAATCCCTTCTCCTCCTTTTTCCTGCTGGAATTTTGTGTACACACACATAAGTGCTCAATGTGATTTTTCAAGCCACCAGGTCTGGGACTCAAACTGTGGTTGGCCATGTGGGAGTCTAGCGCTTTAATCACCACGCTACCTGTTGGCTCTGAGTGCAATGTTTACTGTTAATATTTTTAGCTGGCTGCTTACATGCTTTGCCTATACTATTGCTTCTTGATTATGTTAGGTTAGGTCATCGTTCCTAAAATCCCTTTCTTACTCCAGGACTTTTATTGCCAGTTGTTCATACACCTAAACTCTCCCAGCATAACTACAGTTTCTGAGAAACTTGCTTACCACCACCAGGGAGATTTTGAGTCAGATCCTTAAGTTCCTTATCCTTGAGCTTGATTCCCATAGTATCCAGTACAGTGTTCAAGTTGTTGATGTTGACCTTCACACCTAAGGAAGGATAATCCACGAAGAAAATTACAAAACTCCAAAAGATAGGTTTTTAAATATTTTGTAGACATTACCCTTTTGTGAATTTCGTGAATTTTATATCAGAGCTCAGAAATTTTGAGCATGTCATTTATTCTGTAAAGAATATTCAGACTTCCCCTCATTGTCTACCAGGATTAATAATGCTCTAAAATGCAAAGAAAATATCATTTTTATTTTATTATTTTAAAAGTTAGTATTATTTTTAATTGACAAATCATAATTATATATATTTGTGAGTTCCAATGTTTACACACACACACACACACACACACACACACACACTATATAATGATAAGATCAAGCTTATTAACACATCCATTATCTTGCTTATCTATCATTTTTTTATGGGGAGACATTTGAAATTTACTCTTAGTTATAAAACTGTCGATTTTACTAAAGAGACAGAGGCTTTATGCCTATAAAGAAAGTAAAATATGAATCTAGAATTAAGGTAATTTTCCTTGAGACTAGTTTTAGGGATTAGTTCATGCAATGCAAAGTTTAAAATTTCAATAGCACTGTATAAGTGCTAAGGGAATTCTATAATAGTTGTGGAGGAAAACATTCTTTATTTCTGGTCAATATGAGGTTGATATTCCTCTCTCTCTCTCTCCTCCCCTGTCTCTCTCTCTCTCTCTTTCTTCCTGGAGGTCATATATGCTCCCTAGTGAGAGACAAAGACAGAGAGAGAGAGAGAAAGAGGAAGAGTGAAAATTAGAGGGAGAGGGAGAAAGCACTCTCCACTGGGGAAAGGTCACACTGCAATCCCTTCTCCATTTCTCCATTCTGTCAGGATTTGGGGCAGGCAGCAAACACATCCAGTGTTTTTCAAGCCACTGAAGCATGAATTCAAATAACAGTTGATCATGTGGGATCTGACTTTCTTTAACCACCATGCTACGAGGCTGAGTTTGACGTCTGATGACTGAATTCCCAGTTTAGCTTTTTTCCACAGCTGATTAAATTTCCTGCATCGCTTCTAATCCTTTCTGTCACTTTTTGTTATGTAAATTTTGAATTGTATTTCTTTTATTGAAAATTTTAGAAAATCTTGAGAAAGTTGAGAACTTTATTCTATGCAAAAAATGGAAGATAATCTGTTAAAGTAAAGGGTGATCTTCAGTGGAAGCATACATTTACAAAAAGTTCATGGAAAGGTGGAATAAAAGTATGAGTTTTCATGTGATCCAATAATCCCACTCCTTGGTATTTACCCAAAGGACAGTAAATCACTCAGCTGAAAAGACATTGCTTGTTTACTGCATGTAACATTATATGCATCCATGTTTACTCCAGTATAATTCACAATAGCTAAGACATGGAATTAACCTAAGTGCCCGAAACTGATGACTGGATTAAAAAAAACAGTGGTACATATACACAATGGAATGCTACTCAGCCATAAAGAACAGTGAGCTTCTCTCATTTAATACAAAGTGAACAAATACAGAAGATTTAATACAAAGTGAAATCAGTCAGACTATGAAATACAAACATTGTATGTCCCCACTCAATATATATTGAATGCACTCTGTGGTAGAAACCGAAAGATTCAAAGAATAACAGTAGAAAGAACATGTGTAGATTCAGAGACTGTAAGGGAAGAGGATGAAGTGTGGGTGGTAGATGGGAAGAACTCAAGAAAAAGTGTTTCTTTGTTGAAAATGATATATATGGCAATATTCTTGATCTGATTATCATGCACTTCATGCATGCTTTGAAAAACCATATTTTATGCCATTAAAATGTACAATGAATAAATATAAATGAGAACCTATAAAATTAGAAAAAGAACTTATTTTAGTGCAAAAAATTCTGAAATCCATGTGTAATTTTTTCAATTATATATTTTCCATGAAATTTTGAAGACCCCTTGAATACAAGGCAGTACAGTATTTACTAATTTAATATCTTGAAAACAGTATAACTATGAGAATCCTATATTCATCTGCATTCTTATGCTTTCCACTCACCTTTTAGAGCTTTCACACCTTCTAGCAACCTGTTTTGAAAGATCTTGCCATTATCTGTAAAAAAAAAAAAAAAAAAAAAAAAAAAAAAAAAAAAAAAAAAGAAAGAACTCAAGGAAGGGGAAATGTGGATAATTACTAGAATACTCAGAAAAACTGACTTTTTAGAAATTATTTTAGAAATTTCTCTCATAATAAAATTTGGGAGAAAATTTGGGGAAATTTAGCACATCACCCACTCTATATCATGCATGCATTTTTTTCTCCCTAAATCTCAAATTTATTTACTTCTAAATTATCAACTCTTTTCCTTTTCCCACAAATCTTAGATTAACTTTAAAAAAAATTACCCTTAAATCATAATCATAAGGGGAATGGCTAATAGTCAAGTTGTATATATATATATATATATATATATATAGGGATGCACTTCAGGTATAAGTGGACATTCTAATTTTTGTTGTTGGTTTTTGTGATGGACTTTTTATTTTCTGATGCTTAGGAAATGGAGATAAGTCTTAGAGGTTCTCACAGACAGGGAAGTGTAAAAGCTCTGTTTAGTCACAGGGGTATTTGAAATGCTTACCATCGAATAGCAGATTTTTCACCAGTTCCAAAAATTCCTTCTCTTCAAGTTCTATTCCCATGTTTTTTAGAACAGTTTTAATGTCCTCGATATCAACCTGTCCTCCTTAATAAAAATATTAAAGTAAAGACCTACTTGGAATTTAAATACAGTCAAATGATTGCAAAAAAAACAAGAAAACTAATTTATCTATATAATATGTATATGGGCTGGGGAATGTAATGGCTACTGAGTCCTGAACAACTGTCAATACATAGAGATAACGTCATGCACAAAACAATTTGTTTTCATAATTTGTCAGTGGTCCCAAGAACGTGTCTGTAAGACCTCTAGATATAGACAACATGAATGACCAAGGGCCCCAAGTGCTGTTTGGAAATTCATCCCTGCATTTGCACCAAGGCCATGCTCTCCCCAGATTTCTCTTGGACAGTGACTGAGTGCAACAGAAATACAGAGAAATATGTTCCTTGGAGATACGGGATGCCTGACTTTGCCAGAGGATTCCTTGAAGGACTTGCCAGACCGCCCTTAAACCTTTCTAGATTACATGGCAGTTTAGGAGGCTTCCACTCAGCCTTCGCTCCCTTTCCCTTCAAGTGAGGTTAGACTTATAGTTTTGACAGCTTCCTGGCATCTCTCGGCTCCCTCTCTAGTTTCTGTTACACAAATTATTTCCCTTAATATTGTCTTTATATGTTTAATCCTGCTTTGGTAGCTGTTTCTTGAAGAATTCCACTAACATACTCATAGAGGCAACAAGAAATAGGTATTATATATCTCTCTTTTTAATTAGTAAATTGTAAATGGCTTATCTTAATAATTCTATCAACATGTGGAACCTAATTTCTTTTTTGGAGAGGTTTTTGCTACAGGGCATGTGTGCACTCGTCAGAAAGACAGAGACAGAAAGCGAGAAATCACCCCCCAGCGGGAATGGCCACGCTACAATTCCTTCTCCTCCATTCTCCTCTCAGGATCCTAGGCATGAATGCACACACACCGGCAGGAGTTTAAGCCACAAGGTCTGAGACTCAAAGCATGGTCGACTACATGGGAGTCCAGCGACATATCCATTATGCCAACTGCTGGTACCCCTAACATCTTTCTTTTAAGTAATTATGAGGGTCTTTTCAAAGATTCATTTGACCTCTTATTGTAAGATTTTTGGTGTCTTAAAATAAGAAAAATGAAGTTAATGAAGAACGAGAAAAATGAAGTTAATGAAAACCACATCAGAAAATACTACAACTTCTGGGCTATTCATTGGATATAAAAACATTTTAAAAATAGAAAGTAAAATAATAGAATTAGCATAGCACTTAATGCATGCAGAAAAAATACATTAGTGTAAAAAATTAGAATATTTGTATTAATTTATCACTCACCCGTAATATCTTTTACTCTATCCATCACCTTATTCAGATCAACTTTTCCATTAGCTGTGAAGAAAAGAGCCAGGTGAGATATGCTGTCAATGTCACGAGTTCAGGAAAACATGTATGAAGAGTATATATTGGAGGAAAATTCCAGAAAAATTCCATTGACAGAATTTTCCCCAAACAACTAAATATCCAGATTTCAAGGACTTAACTGATCTCTATATTTGAATTTAACATATTCTTTCCAGGTTTTTGGACTCATTGGTATCAGTCAGCTGTCTGTAACCCTTCAGGTATTGCCAAAGCACTCAGACAACAGCCACTAATGCAACATAGGCTGTTAAGTGAACACATTCTGGAGCATGAAATGCCTGAGGCAGTTAAAATATTAGAATACAACTGGAAGAAACTGAAGCGGATAGGAAGTCTTTCATACAGAAGAGAGGCTGAGGAATGTGGGAAAAAAATCCAGGCGCAATGTATGTGATGTACAAATATACAGGAGAGGCAGGGTGGGCTCAAATCATTGAGGAACTTGTAAGATATTTTAAGAAGTTTAGCTTTTACCCACTGGGTTATGTAGATGAAGTTACAAGTTCAGAAATTATATGGACCAACTAGCATTTGATTTCATTTTTCTTTAATTTGAATTTTATCACTACTTTTTAATCAACACATAATAATTGTACATAAACAATGTGTGATTTTTCAGCATAAGAATATAATGTGTAAAGATTAAATCATAGAAATTAGTATATCATCTTTTTTATTTGGTTTATCATTATTATTATTTTTTAATTTGCTACAGGGCACACATGCTCACCAGAGAGATGAGAGAGGGAAATAGAAAATGAGAAAGCAAGTCAAAAAAGCAAGTCAGGAAGTCAGACTGTGGTCAGCCATATGGAAGTCCAGTGTTCTAAACATCATGCCACCTCCAGCCCTATCTATCATCTACTTTTTAAAAATAATTGTTTATTAAATTTTATTTATTACTTTATTTGTCTTTTAATTTGCTATAGGGCACTTGTGCTCACCAGAGAGAGAGCGAAAGCAAGCTGCCAGGTCCAAGACTCAAACCACAGTTGGCCATATGGGAGTCCAGCACCTTAACAACCATACTTCCCGCTAGTCTCCCTATTCATCATCTTAACTACTTGTTATTACTTTGTGTTGGGAACATTCAAAATTCTTTTTTATGTTACTATGACATAAATAGTAAACTGTTGTTAACTATTGGGTTGTCAGAAAAATCATGACTTTTTCTTTTCTTAAAGAATCATTTTATTTAACTTTATTTATTTATCTTAATTTCACCAGAGAGGGACAGAGTGAGAAGGAGAGATAGAGGGAAAGTGAGAAAGTAAGCCACCAGGTCTGGGACTCAAACCACAGTCGGCCATGTGGGAGTCCAGCGCCCTTAACCACCACACCACCTGCAGCCTCCATGATGTGTTTTTCTATGCAAAAATTCTGTACTATATACAACTAGATATGTTCCTCTTAGCTGTCTGTAATTTTGTTTCCATTAATCAACATTTCTTTATCCCCTATTTCTCATGTCTTCCCCAGTCTCTAGTAGCCATCCTTCAACTCTCTACTTCTATAATGATGTCCTTTTCAATTTCCACATTTGAGTGAGAACATGCATTATTTCTCTTTCTCTGTCTGGCTTATTTCACTTAATATAATGTCCTTCAGGTTCATGTATTTAACTCAAATGATAGACTTGTATTCTTTTTAATGGCTGAATAGTATGACACACACACACACTACATATATATATATATATATACACACACATATATGTGTATATATGTATATATCTCTGTGTATATATGTATATATATACACACTACATTTTCCTTATCCATTCATTAGTTGATGGACATTAAAATTGCTTCCATACCTTGGCTAATGTGAACAGTACTGTAATAAACATTGAGATGCAGATATCTGTATGACATACAGATTTCCTTTTCTTTGCATATCTGCCTAGGAGCAGAACTGCTGAATTATATGGCAGTTCAATTTTAACTTTATGAACGATCTCTATACTACTTTCCATAGAAATTTATCAATTTCTTCTAGTTTGTCCAATTTATTGGCACATAATTGTTCACAGTAGTCACCTTTTATCTTTTGATTTCTGTAATGCCAGTGGTCATTTCTTCTCTTTTACATTTGATTTTACTTATTTGAGTATTTTTTTTTCTTAGTTTAGCTAAGACTCAATATTTTTTTAAAAAAATTGCTAGAGAGTACATGTGCTCACCAGAAAAAAGACAAAGAGATGGGGCAGGGGACATGAAAAAGCACCCCCACATGGAGAAGAGTAACACCACAATCTCTTTTCTTTTATCTCCCTTCTTTGGACACCCAAGAATTTTGGGTATCCCCAAATGCACCCAGTGTGCTTCTCAAGGCACCAAGTTGGGCACTTGAACTGCACAGTTGGTCATGTGGGATCCAGTTGCCTTAACCACCATGTCATGGGGTAGCACAGACTCAATAACATTTTTTTTTTTTTTTTGAGAGAGAGAGATTTTTGCTATAGGGCACATGCACTTGCTGGAAAGACAGAGAGACAGAGAGACAGAAAGCAAGACACAACACCACCACCCCCCACCCCAGGGGGGAATGGCTATTCTGCAATCCCTTCTCCTCCATTCTCCTCCTGGGATCTTGTACATGCATGCACATGCACCTAGTGTGAGTTTACACCATGAGGTCCAGGACTCAAACTTCAGTCAATTATGTGGGAGTCCAGCAACATAACCATTCTGTCATCTGCTGGTCCCCAAGATTCAATAAGTTTAATAGATTTCTTTAGTTGGTTTTCTAGGTTTCCTATATACACAACCGTATAATCTGAATTCCAAGGTAATATTTCTTTTTTTCAACATTATTTCATTTAATTTTCTCAGTTGAAGTAGCAAGCTTTAAGACAATGTTGAATGACCGAAGTTATATATGGCATATATGCCTTATTTCTAACGTTAGGGAACCCTAAGATTTTAAACAGTTATCTTGTCAGCAAGTAATCTAGCTTTAAAAATTCTCAGCTATAAGTCATGGGAAAATTGCCTCTAGGGACTGACAATGTTATCTATTATTCATACCATCAACAGGTAGGTTTTCTTTCAACTGTACAAGTTCTTTTTCAGTGAGCTTGATACCCATTTTTTCCAGGAGAGGGCTCAGCTTGTTGATGTAAACCTTTCCTCCTTAAGAAAGAGAAAAATAATATGATGGTGACTCAATAAAACATAAAAAACACATTATATGTCTTTAATGAGTATAACTATTACAACAAAAGATACAACAATAAAAATCAATTTGCATCTTTATATTATTATTGTCATTCCTTATAAAAAGACTATGATTTCCATTTGACTTTTCCAAGACTACATAGAAAGTTAATAGTAACAATGGAATTGAAACATGTTTTCTTAAAATCAACATAATAAAGATGTTCTTAAGAAGGTTATTTGGCTTAATGGCAACTGGACCTGGATCCTGCTCATTTAATACTTCTCATATTCCTAATGCACAGTATAAAGTATTAATTTTATTGCCTACACAACCAAATTAAATGTGTCTGTAGGAGAATACTTTTCTAAATATAGTAAAGTGAAACCAATCTTCCATTTTAATTTTGTTGTGTATATCTAGTTACCAATTATGTCTTTGAAAGCAAAATTTGGAAAATTTAAAGAATATCATACTATGAAGGTAAATAAATAATTTCTATGCAAAGCATAGCACATTAAAAGAAGAAAAATAAATAAAAATAGAAAAAAGGAGACAGTACTAAAATTCTTATCATGCAAAACCTAAAGATTTCAGACAAAAACTCCAGTGCATTATAATTTACTCACTTTTAAAAGACTTTAAACCCTGCAGGACCCGATTCTGATGCACCTTTCCATCATCTGTTAAGAAAAAGAGGAATGTGTGTGTGGGGGGAGGTTGGTTTATGTCCACAGGAAATTGGTAAAGGAATTTAAAAAAATAGAATTCAATTCTTATAGTAATAAAACACTAAAAATTTACCATAGAACATTTGGTTCTACTTTAAGTAGTAATAAAGTCACAAGATAGTTATTTATTTTTATTTTTTTAGTTTTTTGCCATAGTGTGTGTGTGCTCACTAAAAAGAAAGAAAGAAAAGAGAAAAAGTGAGAAATCACCACGTGGGGGATGGCCATGCTATAATCCCTCACCTTCATTCTACTGGGATTTTGGCAATGAAAGTATATGTACCTGGTGTGATTTCCAAGCCACCAAGTCTGGCCATGTAGGGGTCCAGCGCCTTAACCTTCACTTGCTAGCACCAGAAAGCTAAAATCTTTAAATGTATAAATGCTGTTTTTATTAGAATTCTATGATGTTGAAATAATAATAATAATAATTAAAAGGTGTTTCAACTATTTCTTGTGTTTACATGTGCATGTTGATGCCCTTTGCCGAGCATTTATTTATTTTTTTTATTTAAAAAAAAGAAAAAAAAACTTTCAAAAAGCTCTTAATTGTCTGGTGTTAAAGCAGCCACATCCTACATGGTCCATAGCAATTTGCATCCAGACTGGCAGCTTGAAAAACACATCATACACATGTGCATGCATCGCCAAAATCCTGAAGGGAAGGAGATGGGAGGAGAAGGGATTGTGGCAATCATGCTCCCTGCTTTCGCGTTTTCTCTCCTCTCTCATTTCTTGTTCTTTCTGTCTTCCTGGCAAGCACGCATGACATTGGGCAGATTTTTCTTTTTAAAGAAAAGAAAAGCTTCTAATTATTTCTTTGTTATATTTGTCACAAATGATTTTCCTAACTTGCTATTTGCTTTTTAAAAATGATTTTCCTATTTTTTAAGAAGACAAGCCATTTATTTTGTAGATCAGTTTGAGTGATAGGCTTTAAAAAGTAACCCATAGCTTAAATTTCCCAATAATTTTTAGGCATTAAATTCTTTTTTTTTTTTTGGAGAGGTTTTTGCTATAGGGCGTGTGCGCTCGCCAGACAGACAGAGAGAGACAGAGAGACAGAAAGCAGGATATCACCCCCCAGGGGGGATGGCCACGCCACAATCCCTTCTCCTCCATTCTCCTCTCGGGATCTTGGGCATGCACGCACACGCGCCCGTCGTGAGTTTTAAGCCACCGGGTCCGGGACGCGAACCGTGGTCAACTACATAGGAGTCCAGCAACATAGCCATTACACTAACTGCTGGTTCCTGAATTCTAAAGCTTTAGAATTTTCCTTTCAGATTTACAAAACTAGTGTTAGGTTCCAGCAATATTTTAAGCTTACCGCTAAGTGGCATTGTTTTCATCAGCTTTGCATAGTCTGTGTCAGCAAGTTCAATCCCCATATTTCTCAGTATTTTTTCCAGGTTATTGGTATCAATTTTTTCACCTTAAAAAGGAAATAGTGACATGTGTACATATTAAGGATGACTACAAATTTTAGGTTGAATAGTAAGGGCAGAATGAAATCCTCATCCATTACTGTCTTGGGGAAATCAGAACATAAGTTGTTCCTTTAATAACAATATACAAAGGTTCTTTACACATTCTAGAAAAAATAAATGCAGTTCTATTATAGTTTAATTGGCATAGGAGGTACATAAGTGGCTGACATACATTATCCCATAAGTGTTATATGATTTTCTTGGTATTGGAATTGGTAATGAAGCTAACTCAATCATTTTTTGTGTGTGTTGCTTCATTTTCTCAAAAATTTTTTTTTTGCTATGGGGTTTGTGTGCTAACTAGACACACACACAGATATGTATACACACATATTCACATATGTATGTATGTATATACACACACACACACACACACACACACACACACACGAGCACAGCTGAACATGTGGGATCCAGCCCCTTAACCTCCATGCCAAGCTGGTCTCATTTTGTCGAGCTTAAATTTGTATAATTCAAGACAAAATTTTCTACTGGATCTAAAGCCAGGATACTGGAAAAATGCCAGAGAAAAATAAAAATTATTTTAAAACCCTGGAAGCCTCAGTTTATTAATTTATCACTTACCTGTGTAAGCTTTCACTTCATCCATCATCTTTTTCATATCAACTTTACCATCAACTGCAAGAAAATATAAAATTTATACTCATATGTAACACTAAAGATGAGAAACTAAGCAAAAGAATTATCACTTGCTCTATAATTTTACACCATTTTTTCTTCTGTTAGTGTTAAACAAAGAAAACTTTTTAAATTTCACAAATACAGCTACATTATATTATTGGCATTGACTTTTCTTGCTTTAAGATATTAATACTTTCAGCTATAAAGAATGATACGTAAAGGAGGTGTCTTATATCTTAGATGCTTTTCAGCATTTAGACCTTGGAAGAATCTCTATTATTTAGCTAGGCTACTGAAACAAAATTTAAAAAGCAGTGTATATCATTTTTCTTTCTTTTCTTTTTTCTTTTTCTTTATCTCTTTCTTTATTTTAAGGTTTTTGCTATAGGGCATATGCACTTACCAGAGAGATAGAGAGAGACAGAGGGAGGGAAAGTGAGAAATCATCTTCCTGGGGGGGATGGCCATACCACAATCCATTCTCCATTCTCCTTTCAGGATTTTGGGCACACATGCCCAGTGTGACTTTCAAGTCAACAGGTCCAGGGCTTGAACTGCAGTCGGTCATTTGGGAATTCAGCTGCCTTAACCACCATGCCACCTGCTGGCCCCTATGCCATTTTTCAATAATTTTTAACTTCAGAAAATTTTCATTCATATAATCAGCCACATGTACTATCTATCCCTTGTTATAATAAGGAAATATTATATAATAGGGAAAAGACTTCATAGGCTCTTTGAATGACATGTGCAAAATTATAAATAAAGTCAGTCATACTTGTGGCTAACTACAGTCCTTGTATAAAATAAACATTCAATGATTTTTTAAATCTGTTTTTAAAGAGATATTATAAGAGATTTAATGTTTTAAAACATTACATAGACAGAATCAGCTCACTAAATTAGAATCTCAAGTATACTGTGTTTTCAGATAGAAGAAAGGAGCTAAAACATGTTTCCTCTTTTATTTATGAATGTTAACCTATTGTTTGCCTAATAGCAGAAGACAAAATTTTAAATACAAACTATATTGTTGAGAAGATATAACTAATTAGCATAATAGAAAGTCCATTATAATCTCAAATGGACATTTTAAGCTAAAAGGTTTCTTAATGGTTTCCCACATCCAGAATCACATTTCCATACACATTAACGCAATTTCAAGCAACAAAGAAAGAAATAAAACATACATTTTTGTGGACCAAAAATATTGGAAAGTAAAAGAATAATTTAACAAAATGTCTCCCAAAAAAGAGCTTATTTCTGGGGCCAGCAGATAGCGTAATGGCTACGTCACTGGACTCCCATGTAGTTGACTGCGGTTCAAGTCCTGGACCCAGTGGCTTAAACTCACACTGGATGCCTGTGCCTGCATGCACAAGATCCTAAGAGAAAAATGGAGGAGAAGGGATTATGGTGTGGTCATCCCCTCTGAGGGGTGATTTCTCGCTTTCTGTCTCTCTGTTTCTCTGTCTTTACGGTGAGCGCATGTACCTATAGCAAAAAAAACCTCTACCAAAAAAAAAAAAGAGCTTATTTCTGACAAATGGAGAAAAGGACATGGCAAAGATGCCACTGAGTGATATCTGAGTGAGAAAAACAAAATATGTCCAGTGGGAGTAGGTGGGCAGGAAATGTTCTTGGTGAGGTATTTCTTGATCTTACTGGAATCTTCTCAGGTTAACATATTCTAGTCTTGTTCTAGGAGGGAACTGTGTTATAGTCACACTTAAACTTTACTCAATATTCATTAAAAATTTGAGATTGTTTCTAGCTTATTAAGAGAGATTTGAGTCTAGTATCAGACCGTATTAAATGGAATCAGTTCATCTCATATGGGAATCCTTATAACTTTCTAAAGAGGGAAAGTATGTCAGACATGCTGGTCAGAACTATTGATGGTCTTGTTCTGTGACAAGGGTCGATGAGGGAACCTCAACGGTGACACACTCTCTCTTTTCACATTTCTTTCTATTTTAACTTGGATGGAGGAAACATGATCTCTGCAAATTTGAAGCAATTTCAGGGAAAATTTTAAATCATTATTTCTATTAGGTGTTCTGTTTCTTTCATTTACTTTGATCTTACTCATTTTAACTCTCTTGCATACCATTGCCACAGGTCCCATCCTCTGCACCAATTCCCCACTTGTTTTCTTTTTCCTTGCCTTTTTGTTAGCCTTTTAGTAGGCCTGGTGACATTCTCTGCAATGTGTAGAATTCACACAGTAAGAAATCACTAATGTAAAATTAATGTAAATGCCAAGGGAAAGATTCATTCTTACTTTAGTATTGTGTTCTTCTTGAGGTTTTTCTAAAGGCTTAAGTCAAGTGAGCATTTGAAGATGTTTGTATACATAATCCCAAAAGCCTGTGATTTCAGAGGGTTTTAATTATAATAATAGTAGGAACCAGCAGTTGGCATAATGGCTATGTTGCTGGACTCCCATGTAGTTGACCATGGTTCAAGTCCTGGACCCAGTGGCTTAAACTCACGCTGGGTGCGGGTACGTGTGTGCCTAAGATCCCAAGAGGAGCATAGAGGAGAAGGGATTGTAATGTGGACATCCCCCCCGGGTGATGATTTCTCACTTTCTGTCTCTCTGTCTCTGTCTTTCTGGCGAGTACACATCCCCTACAGCAAAAACCTCTCCCCCCCAAAAAAAATAGTAATGATGATAACAACAATAATAGTAATGATAGCAATAATAAGCAACTTTACTGAATATTTACTACATACCAGATACTGGTTTAATTAATTAATTATTTTCTTAGTTTTGCTATAGGACATTTGTACTAGCTGGAGAGAGAGAGGAAAAGTGAGAAATCCCCCCCTGTGGGGGATATCCATGCCACAGTCTCTTCATTCTTTCAGGATTTGACACATGCATGCATGTATGCCTGGTGTATTTTTCAAGCCACTGAGTCTAGGACTGAAACCACAGTTGCCCATGTGGGATCCAGCTGCCTTAACCTCCACACCACCCGGTAGCCCCATTATTGGCCTAATTTAATCCTCACAAAAGTAGGTACTATTAATGTATCCTTTTAATACATGAAGAAACTAAAGCATAGAAGCATTAAAATGATACAACCGTTAAGCAGAGGACCAGAATTCAAACTCAGGCAGTCTAGCTCCAGAATCTGTGCTTTTAACCACTATGCTGTGTTCTGACTCTGAATGGCATTTTAGATCTTACCATCAACTGGAAGGCTCTGTATCAGATCCTTAAGTTCCTTTTCTGCGAGGTTCATCCTCATGTTTCCAAGAACAGTGTCCAGTTTACTGGCATCAACCTTCCCTTCTTAAAAAAAAAAAAAAAAAAGACAAGAGTAAGTACAAAATATACTAATTCTAAAATGTAACAACATTTCTTTTGCTCAATTAATAGGGTGGATGTCATTGTTGACTGAACTGTCACACTGGCTGACTTTGCTGTTGACTGAATTTCTTGAACAAAAGCAAATCTTTTCTCCTTTTTGATGACATAGATTTAGATTTAGATGATTTCAAGTCCCACCAAAATTTGGGAAATTCGAAAGGAATATGGGACTTTTTTCCCCCTCTAAAATTAGACATATAAAATTAAATGGTATTATTTTACATGAGGTACCTAAAATAGGCTATTCATACAAAGTAGAATAGGGGTTACCAGAGGCTAGAAGGGAGGAAGAATGGGGATTATTCCTCAATTGGCAGAATTTCTGCTTGGGATGATGGAACGGTTCTGGAAATGTGTACTAGTAGTAGTGATCTGCACATTATAAGTCTACTTAATTTTACTGAACTGTACACTTTAATATGGTTAAACAGCAAATCTATATTTTACCACAATAAAAAAGTAACCACAAGAGTACGCTATAAAATAATATTTTTTTAAGAGAGATTTTTGTTATAGGGCACATGTGCTCACTGAAGAGACCGAGAGAGACAGAAAGTGAGATATCACCCCCCACCCCTGGGGGAATGACCGCTCCACAATCCCTTCTCCTCCATTCTCCTCTCAGGGTTTTGGGCACACTTGCACATGTGCCTGGCATGAATTTTAAGCTGCTGTGTCTGGGACTCAAACTACGGTCAGCTACATGGGAATCCAGCGATGTAACCATTACACTAGCTGCTGTCCCCTCTATAGAAGAATCTTACAGATAACATAAAAATATGAGGTAATTTCATAAAGGTTGTGGAGAAATGGAATTAAAGTACCAGTTTATAATCCATATATAGATTTTTCATCATATGCATTTCATTAACTTTTAGAGGATCCTTCATATATGTCAGGAAGCAGGGTTCATATTTAAATCTCTAGGAAATAAATTAAATACAAATCAAAAGAACTTCAAATTCATCTTTTTAAAATTATGATTCTCTCTTACTTTTAAGAGTCTTTATACCTTCCAGTAATCTGTTCTGATAGAGTTTTCCATCAGCTGTAAGAAAACAAATTGGAGTCAAAGAGAAATCAGTCACTAAGGTGATATAAAAATCATTTCCGGGAGCTACCAGGTGGCATGGTGGTTAAGGCACAGGATGTGGTTCAGATCCCCAACTTGGTGCCTTGCTTTCTCTCTTTC